AAACCCCTGTTCATACAATACTGCAGAAATTGGCTCTCAGGTGTACTTTAATGCTTAGTTCACAAATTCTAATATTATACTCACAACCACAGCTACAAAGGGTTCTTGAAATTGTTGATTAAGCATCTGTGTACTGACATCAATTCCTGAAAGCCAACAACCATAGCCAGGATGGCTGTGATACCAGCCTATTGCATTTTCTAGACGACCAACCTAACCAAAACCACAAGAAGGGAGAGGAAAGAAAGCACATTGTTCAAAAGACAATTAATATAAGCACTCCATTTTTTGGGATTGTTAGCAAACTGCAATTTTATTTACACAGAATATTCAGAATCACAATGCGATATATTGTGAATATACAGGTAGCCCTCAACTTAACCATTGAGTAATAACCATTCAACGTTATGACAACACTGAAAAAAGTGACTTATGACCAATTATATGACTGTCACAGTGTCTTCGTGGTGCAGTGAACAGAAATTTTGCTGCTTGGCAATCAGCATTTATTTACAATCTTTGCAGCATCCTGGGTTCACATGATGAACATCTGCAACCTTTCCAGAGGGTTTCTGACAAGCAAAGTCAGTGGGGGAAGGCGGATTCATTTAACTACTGCATTATTGGTTTAACAACCGCCTGTGGTGATTTGCTTAATGATCACAGCAAAAAGTGATCATTGTAAAATCAAGTTCATCTCACTTAAGATCAAGGGCAAAGCATACTCAATTTAAAGATTATCATCTAAGTGTCTCTGGATCCACAACTGAATTCTGATAATTTTAGTTAATGTTAAATTGCTAAAATAGAAGCTTATCTTCTTGTTTTACCTGCTTTGCATTTTCAATATATGCAGCCATATATTCATATGCAGCAGCCTGAGCATTAACTCTGGTTTCAGTGCCTTCCACTGGTAAAGCAAAACTGTCCATTATGATCATCGTTTCGCCATCTACTTTTCCAAGCATTAAGCCCATCACTTCCAAGTTGCCTCCTGATCTAGCATGCATGACCATCTTCAGAAGAGCCAAAGCAGAGATCTTGCAGTACTTGAAATAATGGTGGCTGCAACGGAAAGACCAACTATCTTTATAATGCTACTAAATTATTATAGAAAGGAAAACAGGAAAAATACACATACATTATTTAAGCATAATGGCTCTATTAGACATAAAATCACTAGGCTATTTTTAGATCATAAGAAAAATATAAAAATCTACCATTAAGTTTTAAGAGAACAAAAATATACTAAAGTTTTTGAAATATCAAAGGATCTTAAATGTTTTGATAATTGAGATGTTACAAAAAGTGTAACTGGAGGTAGACACTCAGGAAAGAAAAATTGACAATTCTGAAATTATAAACATGATAAATATCCAACACCATACGATGGCACTTAAGACTTAAGATGAGAATCTATCTACCAAAAAGCAGGGAATCAATTACGGTATATTTGTTTGTTCCAAAAGCTCTTGGTGTAACCTGAAATTTGGCATACAATAGAATGGCATCTACTAAAACTTTGTCTAATGTACATATAAGCCTTTCTTATGTGGCCTGGCAGGAATCTCACAGCCTACTAAGCACAACACTATGGATCTCCCAACAAAAGTGGGGCCTGGTTAGCCATTGGCCAGGTTGTGTTGAACATATTCTGGAAGCTCCTAACTGCTCATATAATATTATTTTTTAAAAATGAGTGAAGCCTTTCAAATTAAATTAAAAGCCTTGAACTCTATGACAGGTGGTATGGTACTAGCTGGGGCAGTGGAGATGTGAGGCTTGGGCAAGAAATATTGAGCCAGAAGGCTCAAACTGATTTAGGGAAAAAAGGATCAGGTAAAAGAAGAGACAGAAGGGTGTTGCTGCCCCTCAGCAAGGATCTCTATGCTGGGCAAGGAGAGGAAAAGATCTCTTTGCTAGGCAAAGAAATGAAGAATTCTCAAAGCAGTGAAAGAGAAAGAAAAGCAAATGAAAAGAACTCTGATGACCTCTACCCTCAGGTAGGAGAGAAAGAGAAAAGTGGGATTTGGGCATTCTTAATAGACTGATTTTCTATATTATATCATGCTGGATAATTTGAAAACAGTATTATGAAAACAATATCATGACCAATATTAGTGCTCCAATGAATGATACTGTCAACTGTCAAAGTGAAATGTTTATGTTTCATAATAACATATTTTTATTTAATTAATTTATATCTAATGTCATATTGCAGTATTATTTTCCTTATTTTTGAGTTAAGTAGAGGCATTTATATGAATGTAGGAAATGGCTTCAGTGCTATGCCCTTGGGCTAATTCAGCATTCATGGCTATTTGAGAAAGAATCACGCTAATGAGAAATAGTAGGCTGTGCAGATTTGTAACTTCGAAAGAGCCTCTCCCTGTGGATCATCTGATGCTCTGCAGACAGAATCAGTAGCAAACTACATCACATTTTTTATACTTTAAAACTGTTGTAGGTTGCTGTTGGCTAAAGAAAGAAAACAATACTTTATAACTGGGTAAGAGGTAAAGACAATGTTGTGGAATCACAGCAGAAAAAGAAAAGGTTGCCAGGACATGTTTGCATCATGGTTACAAGCAAGAAGAGAAAGACCCAAATACATGGGTTAACTATATTGTTAAAACACAGTAGACATGTCATTAGTTATCAGTATTTGCTTGACAGGAACTACAATCCTCTAATAAGCATGCCTCTCTTCACCCAATTTAATTCCATCTTCACTTTTCTTAGTTTCATCTCTGATGTCATTTTCTACTTTTTGTTAAGATTTGTTAAGATATTTTTTGTTAAGATAGGAGTGCCAAATCCCATTATTTCTACTTCCCTAAGATCTGCAAAATCTACACTTCCATCTCTGTTCTTAAATTTAAATCCTTCACCCCTATTATCCAGCTGGTCACTTGCCCTGAGAAATGCAATCTCTCCCTGGTCCCGTTTTGGGATCTCCCCATTCTCTCCAGATCCGCCTTGCATCAGGCTACCTCTGGGGCAAGTGCACCATCGCTGCCGCCTTTTCCTGGCCACGGGACCCGGCAGCGACCTCGGCAGCCGGCAGAACTCTCTGAACCAAGGCAGAGAACGAGGAACGTAGAGGCAGCGGCGGTTTTCCCTGTCGCCCAGACACCCACTTACTCCTTGGTCCATGGCTTGGCCGCCAGGATCTCCTGCTGCTGCTTGCGGTCATACTTGTATATCTCATCGATGCTTTGTGCCTCCTGCATGTTGTTAGCCAGCTCCCACGTCTTCTGGGCCATCCCGCTCCCCGAAGGGCCGGCAGTCGCCATTTCACCGGCTTGTCAGGCCGAGCCAAAGCAGGCTCTGCTTCCCGGTGAACCGCCTCGGGCAGGAGGAACCTCCCGGTCGGCTGTCGGACAGCGCAAACCGGAAGTCAGGGGAGAACAGTCGTTCTTAGCGAATGGTTCCGGCCGCTCCGCGAAGCCTCCAGCTTGCCCCCTAATGGCAAGTGATGAGATTAGTCTCCCAAGAGCCTGTCTGTTAGTTTACTCAGCGCGCCAGGGAGACCCAGGCCATCCAAGACAGCGTTTCTGAATCTCAGCAATTTTAATATGTATGGACTTCAATTCCCAGAATATTGGCACTTGAAGTCCAAATTGCTGAGTTCGAGAAACACAGATCTAAGAGGTGTGTGTGTGCTGCTAGCAGCCTTTCTCCATTGTATTTAAATATGGACTATGGATGATGACTGCATCTCTGCGAAGAAAGGACACATGCAGAACAGACTTTGAAAGTTTGTATCATTGAAAAGCTGGGGCAAATGTGATTTGGCAATTGTTATGCATTTTAGATATATTTGTTTTTGTTTTTGTTTATTAAATTTATATACCGCCCTACTCCCGAAGGACTCAGGGCGGTGAACAGGCACAAAATAAAATACATAGATACAAAAGTTAGAAACATAATTAAAACCAGATTAAATAATTTAGCCTGAGACAATTAATTAATTTAGCTATATTGATAGCTAAATGAGACAAGAATCTTCCCTAATTTGGTGCCCTCCAGATATGTTGGGAATTGAAGAATTGAAGAATTCTTGGCCATGGCTGGATAGGAATTTGTGCATTAGTTACCACCTATGGAGTGAACTTGGACCATAGCATTAACAGAATGTTTCCAGTTATTTTCATCTAAAATATTTCTGATCCTTATCCCAGATAATTATTTAGCTTTGGTTTTTGTAATAGTGATCAAAATATCTTAGCGTTTTTGATATAATAAGCTAGCAACTTTTTACAATAACTGTCATATTTTGACTTAGGTTTTCATGTCTATCCCGTCTTTGCAACTACTGTAGTTAGTGATTGTATTCACACATTTATTTTAAGGTTAAAAAAAAAAAACCTGGACGCTCTCACACATGGCTTTTAGCTGCTTACCAAGGAACCTGTTTGCTTTTATTTAGGTTTGTTAACAAAATCAACATATTTCTTCATACCAGCTGGTTACAACTTTGAAAGATCTCAGCACCTGATCAGAATCTACGCTGCACGCTTGCAGTTCACTCTCACATCATTGCAGCACTTTTGAGATGTCAGACCCTAGACTGAACATCAGCCGCTCCCCTTCTCAAAGTCCTTAGCTAATGAAAGTGTCCAGAAAAACTGGGATGTGTGTGTGTTTCACTTTGATGTAGTCTAAAAAGAGCCATGATAAATCATTTCTGAATTTTTGGCAAGAAAACTGCAGGGACTCATCCAGGCAGTCCCCAGAAGTCAAGATCCAAAAAAAAAAAAAAAAAAAAAAAAAGCTTTGTTATGCCTGTTGGCAAGGGGGTTTCTGAGCTTCCACAGAGGAGTGCCAGACAGCGGCAAACGGATTAAAGGCTGCCCAAAAGACTTTTATCATTTCCACAACGCAGCACAGGGCCAGCAAGTTCTCTCACAAATCCGGATGCGCTTTTGACTCCAGGCAGCAGAGGCCGCCCGTTGCCTATTTCCACCCCCTCCGCCCCCCACTTTTTTTCGGTTCCTCCCCGAGAAGGCGGAGCGCTGTGAGAAGCTTCGGTTGAGACTGAGGAAAATCGGCGGGAGCCGCTGCTAGATCACCCGCCGGCGCCTGGGCCTTTTCCGGAGCGAGCGGCAGGGGAGGTGAGCTTCAGCCAACGACGGTTGCGAAGGACTGGTCGCTGCAACCCCAAAGGAGGCTCATGCGGACTAGGGCTAGTCCGGTACAAGCGCGCGCCGAGAAAGCTCGTTTCTTCTCCCCCCTCCCCCCCCCGGTGGGGAAGGTTTAAAAATGGACCCGAAGCGGCAAGCAGGGGGGCCGGGGTGAAGGGAAGCTCCCTTGCATATCTCGCAGGGGTTTGGAGAAGGCTGGCAGAAGGGTCGGGGGTTGGCCGTAGAATTGTCCTTTTAAATCCAGATGTTCGCCTCAGAAAGTCGGGCGCTTATGGAGTCGCTGCTTGGCCGGTCGGCTTTCGCTAAAGCTCCTCGGAGGCCGCAGGTTTTGTTGTACTTCGGTTGCCTAACAACGCCGTCCGGCTTCTTAAAGCGACAGGGCTGGCGGAAACTTCAAGCTGCTTTTTTTGCGCTTCTGTCTCAACTGCGAGCGGCTCGCCTTGTTCGGTGTCGTTTTCTCGGGATTGAGAAGATGTTTCGGATATCCGTAGCTTCTGGTTATCTGCTTAGTGTGGCTCTTGGCTGCTGGAATCTTATCCTAGCGATTGACATCGTGAAACTATAAAAGATTTAGCCATAAGATGCCATCAGAATGGTGTAAAAATCAGGTGTAAAAATACAAGTTAATGCAAATGGAGAAAAAAATGCAAACATAGTAGTGATTCATTCTCCAACAAATGTTCTCTTTTGCGGAAATCCATTCTTCATTTCCCGAAGGCTAACAGTGAATTTGTTAACCCAGCCTTGAAAGGGAAACACTCCCATAATATGGCAGCTGCAATTGGAAATATTGTTTTTTTGGGGGGGGGCGGTCTCTGCCGCTTTCATCTCATGGTCCTGTGGCTTCATCAAAACATTTTGAAGGAATATTTGTACTTTTGTACTTAGAGAAGTTGGATAGGCCACTTTTATGTGATGTTTGAGCCATCGGTTTAAAGAAGAAAAATAACATAAGATAGTTTATGAAGTGAGGGAACTTTGTTGATGAAGCAAACCTCTGTTCACTATCTTTGAAAAATTCTGGAAAATGGATAAAATATGAGAGTACAGTACTAGAGAAAGGAAAATATTACCCTTAGGAAGCTACATATCATTCAGCAATCCATTACTTGAAAGACTCTAGAGGAGATCACCCAGTAGTTAATCTACAAATTTACTGAAAACAGTGGGATATTTAGTAAAATCCTTATGAGTTTGTCAAGAATGCATCATAATAAACTAATTTTACTTCATGTTTTGATTAGGTGTCTTCTATAAATATAGGGGTTATCTCAAAGTGCGCAGTAGTGTGATCTAAAATAATACATCTTTGTTTTATGAATAAAACTAAAAAAGAAAACTATTGTGATTGGCAGATAGCTCTGACAGAAGGTAGACCTCTTTAAGCCTAGCCATCTCTTAAAATTTGCTTTAGGCTTTACTCCATATTTTATATGAACAGACCCACAGTAGGTGTGTCCAGACAGCACAAACAAGTTTTAAAGCACTCCCACTTTGTTTGTACAAACTTGATCAGCATTTTTTTAAAAAATGCAATTCTTCTAAATTACGTGTGACCTCTGGAGATTGCAACCCACAATTTGAGAACCCCAGACTTGGTAGCACCAAAGGTGCTTTTTTTTTTCAAGAGGCAAATGGACTTTCTGGTTTTTCTTTGAAGACATTTCGCTTCTCATCCAAGAAGCTTCTTCAGCTCTGACTGAATAGTGGGGAATGGAAGGATTTATACTCCTTGCAGACAGCTGGTCATTTGCATTCTTTTAGCAGGTCATTAAGGTCACCTGGAGGTTTATCTGTGTCATCAGGGTCACCTGAGTGGTGCAACTTGATGAGGAGCCTTCTTGGCACTGTTGAAAGGACTGTGTTGTAGATTGGAGGTAGATGATATTGTATCCCTTTCCCTCTGTTGAGAGCGGGCTTTTCAATTCTGACATAAATGGCCTCTTTAACCCCTCTTTCAAACCAGCAATCCTCTCTGTCCAAGAGGGGTTAAAGAGGGGTTTAAGGGGTTTCTTTCAAATTACTATGGGATTCAAAAAACCAAACAGACTGTATATTGATTAAGCAAATTTAGGCATCTTATAAAATAGTGTTTCTTTTATTTATCCATTAGGTACTATATTCAGTTAGATTATCATTTCCAGAAGTAAACAATGATGGCTGAGAATCTAGACAAGTTCCTTGAAGATCACAAAGCCAGGTTGTTACAGGACAAGGCAAAACTTGAAAATGATCCCCCATACATGGAGATGCAGGTAAGTTTTTATTTTAAAACAAATAAATTAACACAATTCTGCTTCTGTAGTTCAGGTTAAAGACTCTTACAGATTTTTCTGTCCAAATGATTATATAAATTGTGATTTAATCCATATTAGACCATCATACCTACAAACTTCACAGAGAGGAGGAACAATATATAATATACATACTCCTCTTTTCTATAGTTAGCTGACTACCTCTTCTTATGATTCAAAATTATGCAGTTCAAAAGCTTACATTGTTAATGCATTTGGGGGGGGACCTGATATATCAAGAAAACAGGACTATCTTGCTCTATTAGATCAATCTCCTTTTCAAAAATATGAGAATGACTGAACTTGTTTTCCCCACTTCTCCATTAACCCTAGCTATCAAGCCAAAACTTGGAAGGGTGGGGGATGAAGAATCACCCGAAAGCTAGTTCTATGATTTTTATGCTTTTTCTTACTCCGAATAGCACTTTTTATACTTTTTGCATACATTTGTTAGTTGTACCTTATCATTTTTTCTTTTTCAGAATAAAAGTGCAGAGAAACTTTCAAAGGCTAGTGAATTATTAATCTCCATGGCTAAAGAAAACATCCCACCGAATAGTCAACATATTGCTTTGCATGGTATTATTTTTTTCTAATGGTTATTGTGTTGCAGTCAGTGGGAAATGATTACATTAATCTAAAGGTTGAATTTATCCTAGTATCCTTGTTATGTTATCATAGGTTCAAAATATTTGAAGCTAAATTTTTAAATATGATATGGTGATAAGCCAGATGGCATGTCATACTTCTTGCGTAATGGATAGCCTTGCAGTGCAAGATGGTTAATGCCTTTTTTTTGAGGGAAAGTGTGATGTCACTTGGTTTTTAAAAAGGCCACTATGCACCCTGTTCCAATCTTATCAAGCAGATTGTTTTAGTCTGCAGTCATTGCAGGAAGAGCAGTTGGTTCAATATGAGACTGCAGGACTTGTTTATCCTTCCCATGTTAATTAATGCCTGTCTGCAACTGCTGGTCATTTATTCTTTGGAGTAAAATATCCTTAGTATACTGATGATGTTTAGCCGTATATTGCCACTTCAGGTCAGAGGTTTAAGGGATTGAATGTTCAGATTAGGTTGTAGCAAGATGGAAGTGTTTGTAGTTTGTAAACATCTTGACAGAAATATCGGTTTCAGTGGTTCTCTAAGATGAAGATAGGGTCCCCCAAAAGAACAGGTCTATGTCTTGACTTACGGCTCCATCTGGAATAGCAATGGAAACTATAGCAAGGGAGGCTTGGCAATGGTAACTCAGACTTGATCATCATACAGCAAAATTGCACATGGTGTTGCTTTAAAAATGATTCAGAGGCTGCATTTGATTCTGATTCTTGAAACTAGACTGTTATCAGAGAAAACCTCTTTTGGGGGTCACTGTACTGGATTTCTGTTTGCAATTTAACATGCTTATTATTATCTAGAAGGCCCTATAGTGTATTTCTAGGTTTTATCAGGAAGGTATTAACATGACTTACTAACATGATCCTGCCTGTCCTATAGGGACACCTGGAAATTTACATTTTATTCAAAATTTCTGGGTTTAAGTAGAATATGAATTCTGTAAAACAAATAAAAGATAAATAAAAAATAACTTATGATATACTGTGGTGTATGAACTGTGGCTTTAATATTATGAGAGCTGGGCAAGCCCTTTTAAAATGATGATTTATAACTGCAGGTCTGCCAGTTAAGTCAAGCAGTTCAATTTTTCCAGGTTTATTTGCTACTTTTGGCCATCTCTATGTGCACAACTACTTCATTTTACCATATTTTTTGCGGTACTTCAATTTTTGTCTATATATGCTCCAGGTTCTTTTTCAACCTGGGCTTAGTGAGAGATATTATCACAGAGGGTTAGTTGTTACTTAGCAACAGCAGTTCCCTATACATGTGCCTTTCTTCTGTTTAAATTTAATTTATTCTGCTATATGCTATTTTTTGTAGCTGCCATTTGTGATGATTTTTTTTTTTCTGAATGACATTTGAGATTATTACAGGAATTATTTTGGAAACCTGTACTAAATTAATTACAAAGTAAATATGGAAAATACATTTTTTAGAATTAATGTTAAAGTAAACTGTGGCTTTAAATTTTGAATTTAAAGACAAATTTTGAATTTGTCCATTTCTTTCAGAAAGAATGTAATTTTGAAATTGGAATAGATATTAATACCAACAAAGTAGCTCACGAAAAAATATCTAAGCTCATTTTGTAAAAAGAAGTGCTACCATAGTTGTATGTTAATCTTAGCTTAGCAACTCCCCCTCCTCAAAATACAGGCTGATTTCAAAGTATAGGATGCTTAGTAATGAATTTTATATTTTATTTTCTGACAAATCAGTAATATACTTTAGGTACATAGAACCTACATACATTTTCCTTGCAGTTCTTTAGAAGGAAAGGTGTAGCTGCTGTTTGTCTAAAGCCAGGTTTAGAAAATGGTCTAATACAGATAGTTCTCAACTTACGACCATAATTGACCCCAGAATTTCTGTTGCTGAGTGAGAAATTTGTTAAGTGAATTTTACTCCATTTTACAACTTTCCACAGCTGTTAGGTGAATCACTGCAGTTGTTAAGCTAGTAAAATGGTTGTTACGTGAATCTGGCTTCCCCATTGATTTTGCTTGTCAGAAAGTCGCAAACGGTGATTCCATGACCCTGGGACACTGCAACCATCATAAACACGAGTTAGTTGCCAAGTGTTTGAATTTTGATCACATGACCATGGGGATACCGCAATGGTTATAAGTGTGAAAGATGGTCATAAATCACTTTTTTCGATGCCGTTGTAATTTCAAATAATCACTAAATGAACTGTTGTAAGTGGAGGACTGCATGTAGTTGGTACTTAGACTCATAACATATATACATGCTCCATGTAGCAAGCAATTACGTCAATGTCAATATTCAATAGCATGGATTGTGGAGTTTTCTGCTCATATCGACATTCTTGGATTCACTAAATATGGCTATTTACAAATTACTGTTTCTCTCAAGTTCAGTTCATCATCTGATAAAATGATAAAATGCTGGTCTATCTGGCAGAATGTTAAAGCAAAAATCTATATATATTTCAGAAATTAAAAATTCGAGATAAATAATACTTGTCCAAAGTTTGTTTCATGAATACAAAAATATATAGGAAAGTAGGCTACTGAAAAGGCATAAAATTTGCTGCCAGGTCAAAATAATTGCATATGATGTTTTTGCACATGGATTAAAATCAGGAAACAAGTTGTCCAAGAGTTCTTTCCCTTTTATCTACCCTGTCTTTTCCAATTTAATAATCATTAATTTTAATACAAATGACAGGAATATTGATTATATTATATTAATTACATTTTATTTATATAAATTATGTAACAAAATTGGAGAAGAAAAAAACAGTGACAAAAAATTAAATGGAAGAGGCTGGATTTCTTAATAAAACAGTGGCTGGGAAAAGAGCCTGTTAATTTTTCATCTAATACCACTTTTTTGCTCTGCCATTTCTATTTCCTCTTCATCCAGCCCTTTCTCTTTGCCAGAAAATGTGTACATTCTTACATTTTAGCAGATTGAAACAAAGTTCATATGGAATGTCCACCTGTTGATACAGTATTCATGATAAAACTTCTGTTTGGTTTTTAATTAAAATCAGAGCAATTCTCTTGTTTACTTCTTCTCCTTAAAAAACTTTGATAATTTAAAGGATCAGGAAGAATACATATATGAACTGTTCTCTTTTCTATACCAAAAGATTACAAATGCACACTTACTTTTGCAATTTACAATTGCTGAACATATTAAAAGTATTTGGTGTTGTCAGTAGTCTGGCAGTGGTAAAAATGACATCACTAGAAGTGACCTAAAATAACAATTAAATGTAGTTTACCCTCAGAGGCCTCCTGGGAAAACACCATGACAGCACCAAAAAGAGTATGTGTTCCATATTTGGATTTTGATTTGTAAATGTTTTGATCTTAGATGGTAAAAATCACCTTGTTCAGACAAACTAGCTATAGTCTAACATACTAGTTGTTACAAGCTTGATGAATTTGGAAATTTCATAAATAAGGATAATTTAGTGAACATTTTCTCTGGTTGCATTATTATTTGAAAAAATATATATCAACGAAAATTCCCTTTTTGCGTAGTAGTAGCTATTGCTGTACCTGCGTACTGTAAACCTCTTATTAACCTATTTAGCATATAAAATTTAGCGTATTTTATTTACCAAAACAGGACTGTAGCTGTCAGGTTAAATTAACTAATACATATAATATTGGTCATTAAGACATGCTCCATAGTTGCAATATACTGATAATAGTACAAAAGAGGCCATTAGTATTTAGGAAGATATTTGTATATACAGTATTACCAAGCAATTGATCGTGGAATTTATGAAATCCAACTGCCATTGAAAAGAAACCAGTGTATTTAGAAAAGTGTATTTAGCTATCTGCTTTCCAGTAAGCTGTAGGGATCTCTTATAGTTATCCTTGTTAAAAATATTTCCATGATGTCATAGAGGGCCAATGCTCATAAGCTGCTGTTATGTTATATGCTTATCATGGTATATAATGCATTATGAAGTTCAAGCAACCTGCCAAATAAATAGTCTCAGTTGTATATTTTTTTTTAATAAACTATAGCTCATGCCCAACATGCCTAAAGTTTAAATGTTGTGCGGCCTTGGAGATACTCTGTATTTTCTTGTCATATTAAACTGATAAGCATCTTATTCTTCTCGTACTTTTTTATACCAGAAAAGTTTCTTTTCTTCTTAAAAATATCATTCATCATTGACATTATAAAGTCTACTCAAACTCATACTGATGTGCAAGACAGATCCACTAAATTTAATGGAGCTAAAGGAGTATAATCTATTTAATTATGTAAACATGCACAATGTTTATTTCTATTTATGTTTAAAAGTTTTTAATGTTTTAATTGTTTTAACAAGTTGCTTTCTGAATGCTGCCCAGAATCACACTGTGAGATTTATTTATTTATTTATTTGTTTGTTTGTTTGTTTGTTTGTTTGTTTCAATTTCTATACCGCCCTTCTCCAAATAGGACTCAGGGCGGTGAACAGCCAAAGTAAAAAACAGGACATACAAAATTTAAAAACAGTTTAAAATAATTAGATATTTTGGCCATAAATTAAAACAACCCAATTTAAAATCAATTTAAAATTTAACTCAAGCCAGCCCAGCTAGTTGAAATAAATAGGTTTTCAGGGCCTGACGAAAAATCCGGAGGTCTGTTATTGTACGTATCTCTGGGGGGAGGTTGTTCCAGAGGGTGGGCGCCGCCACAGAGAAGGCTCTCCCCCTGGGGGTCGCCAGCCGACATTGTCTGGCGGACGGCACCCTGAGGAGGCCCACTCTGTGCGAGCGTACTGGCCGGTGGGAGGCTATTGGTGGCAGAAGGCGATCTCGTAGGTACCCTGGCCCTAAGCCATGGAGCGCTTTAAAGGTGGTCACCAACACCTTGAAGCGCACCCGGAAGACCACTGGGAGCCAGTGCAGCTCGCGCAGGAGAGGTGTCACATGGGAGCGCCTCATCGCCCCCATAATCCCCCGCGCGGCCGCGTTCTGGACCAGCTGGAGCCTCCGGGTGCACCCCAGGGGGAGCCCCAGGTAGAGAGCGTTGCAGTAGTCCAGGCGGGAAGTAACGAGTGCCTGAGTGACTGTGCGTAGGGAGTCCCGATCTAGAAAGGGGCGCAACTGGCGTATCAGGCGAACCTGATAAAAAGCCCCCCTGGCCACGGCCGTCAAATGATCTTCTAAAGACAGCTGTGCGTCCAGGAGGACGCCCAAGTTACGAGCCCTCTCCGTGGGGGCGAGTGATTCGCCCCCAATAGCCAGCGATGGCGTCAGCTGGCTATATCGGGACGCCGGAAGCCACAGCCACTCGGTCTTGGAGGGGTTGAGTCGGAGCCTGTTTCTCCCCATCCAGGCCCGCACGGCCTCCAGGCACTGGGACATCACTTCAAGGGCATCGTTGGGGTGGCCTGGGGTGGAGATGTACAGCTGGGTGTCATCAGCGTACTGATGGAACTCCACCCGGAAGCCACGGATGATCTCACCCAGCGGCTTTACATAAATGTTGAACAGAAGGGGCGAGAGGACCGACCCTTGTGGCACCCCACAAGCAAGGTGCCTCGGGGTCGACCGCTGCCCCCCTGTCAACACAGATTGCGACCGGTCAGAGAGGTAGGAGGAGAACCACTGCAGAACGGTGCCCCCCACCCCCATCCCCGCCAACCGGTGCAACATGATACCATGGTCGATGGTATCAAAAGCCGCTGAGAAGTCTAACAGGACCAGGATAGAGGAGCAACCCCTATCCCGAGCCCTCCAGAGATCATCCACCAACGCGACCAATGCCGTTTCCGTGCTGTGCCCAGGCCGGAAGCCGGACTGGAGCGGGTCTAGATAGACAGCTTCATCCAGGTACCGGGGAAGCTGTTGCGCTACCACACTCTCAACAACCTTCGCAACGAAGCGAAGGTTGGAGACTGGACGATAGTTAGCCAAAACAGCCGGATCCAGAGAGGGCTTCTTGAGGAGGGGCCTCACAACCGCTTCTTTCAAGGCGGCCGGCAGGACCCTCTCACTCAAAGAAGCGTTAACAATCTTCTGGAGCCAGCCTCGTGTCACCTCCCGGGAAGCCAGTACCAACCAGGAGGGACACGGGTCCAATAAACATGTGGTCGCGTTCAGCCGTCCCAGGATCCTGTCCATGTCCTCGGGAGCCACAGGATCGAACTCCCCCCAGATAACACTCTCAAGACCTGCCTCAGTCATCCCATCCGGACATACCCAGTTAGAGGCCAGCCCTTCCCGAATCTGAGCGATTTTGTCATACAGATACTGCACAAAATCCTCAGCTCGGCCCTGCAAGGGGTCATCCCGCGCTTCCAGGTGGAGGAGGGAGCGGGTCACCCTAAACAGGGCGGCCGGGCGATTATCTGATGATGCGATAAGAGCGGCAAAATAGCTAGATTTCGCCGCTTTTATCGCCACTAGGTAGGTCTTAATATGAGACCTCACCAGTGTTCGGTCGGATTCGGAGCGGCTGGTCCTCCAACTACTCTCCAGGCGTCTTTTCCGGCGCTTCATCTCCCTGAGCTCCTCGGAGAACCAAGGAGCTAGGTGAGTTCGGTGCCGGGTCAGAGGCCGCAAAGGCACGACACAGTCCAAGGCCCCGGCAGCCGCACTGTCCCAGGCGGCCACCAGGTCTTCAGCCGAGTCATGAGCCAGAGTCTCAGGAAATGGCCCAAGCTCCATCTGGAACCTATCAGGGTCCATCAGGCGCCTGGGGCGAAACCACCTGGTCGGTCCCGCCTCCCTGCGGCGGGGTGCAGCGGTTAGAAAGTCCAGTCGAAGGAGCGAGTGGTCAGACCATGACAAGGGTTCGATGGCTATATCCCCTATATCAAGGCCACTCAACCACTGACCAGAGACAAAGACTAAGTCCAGAGTGTGTCCCCCTGTGTGAGTGGGGTCATGAATTAACTGAGTAAGGTCCATGGCCGTCATGGAAGCCATGAACTCTCGAGCCACCTCAGACGTTTCACCGATAGATGGCAGGTTAAAATCCCCATGATAACAAGTCTGGGGGTGTCCACTGCCACCTCGGCTATAATGTTAAGCAGCTCGGGCAGGGGCGTTGTCACGTGGCAGGGAGCCAGGTACGTGACCAACAAGCCCATCTGTACTCCACGACCCCACTTCACAAAGAAGGACTCACATCCGGCTATCTGTGGAACAGTGGTCTCCCTTGGATCCAGATCTTCCTTTACAATAACCACCACACACACCCCCGCCCCTGCCCTGAGCCCTCGGCTGATGAAATACACGGAAGCCTGGTGGGCATATATCCACGAGGGGAACTCCCCCCTCCTGGCCCAACCAGGTCTCTGTAATGCCCGCCAGGTCCGCCTCCCCCTCCTCAATAAGATCGTGAATGAGGGGGGCTTTATTAACAACGGACCTGGCATTGCATAACATCAGTCGAAGGCTCTGGCCCTGAGAATCTGGACAGCTGTGGTCTCTCTCTAAGGCACTAATTCTCCATACATGTTGGATATAGCTTGGAAATTGTGTCAGATACATCTTCGCAATGAAGTAAGCCTACATGATGGTTGTATACAATACTGTATTGCTCAAGAAGCTCTTATTGATCTTTTTTCCTTAAAATGTTTAAAGGCTATGTTTATATCCTTAAGAACACACTGTAGTAAGAGTGCATTTTAAATTTCTGATCATAGTTTTTAAAACTGGAACTTTTTCAATTGAGTTTCCTTTATAGGGTAATAGAAATATTAAATTACCTTTATTTGAATAAATTCTGAAGTTTGTTACACTGGAATATTGTTTGCACGGACCATTGATAAGAAATGCCTTGTATTTTGTAGACTATGGCTTAAGCTTGCCTCTGGGGGAGGATTATGAACATAAAAAACACAAATTAAAGGAAGAACTTCGACAGGACTACAGGCAATACCTTTCACAAGTAAGAAACTATCTTATTAAAACTTAAGTGCTGGTTTGTGAAACAAAAATACAATAAAACTAAATTTCCTAAGAACTGAACATATTAATTTCTAAAATTTGTTGCTATGTAGTGTCATGTAGATTAGATGCCATATAAAATATCTATGTCAATAAATAAGAGACATAAAAAGAGGAAATGTTAAAGCTGAGATTTGTTAAAGAAGATAAATGTTAAGTATTACTGCTATTATATTATCAATATTATTGTGAAGAATACTATAACAAATATGTGGATTATGACTGCTTAAAACAATGTACCCAGATCACACACTGTTTGATGGAAATTGAATTTTTATATCTTGTATAAATAAAATAAATAAAAGATGAAAAAAATGATTGGAAGCTGCTTTGAAAGGAGTTTGGTTGGAAGATCAAAGGGAGAAATTTTATTTTGACAGATGAATACTTAGTTTAATTTAATCAAAAACTAGCCAAACACATTTTAGGCTAATGTGTACTGTAAGCCTATATTTTATATGAGTTTATGGTACATTGTATTGTAACCCATAAAATAGCCTTCCAAACCACTGTGAAAATGATACATTTGCTAGTGTTTTCTCCTCTGGAGAGGAAACCCTAGTGAATCTTGCATTCTGAAAGGCTTGGAGCCTCACTGTTTCAGGATGCTGAGGCCGATCAGGGGCTTTTAACATTTTCCCCTCCGGAATTCCACCTCTCAGTAGCAACCTTTCTCATCTTCATGTTCTGAAACTTGATCGTTTTGTCCTTCAGATAAATGCTAAGGACACAGAGCCTTTAGCATTTTCTCCTCCAGAAAGGAGAAGAATACTAGTGAAAGAGGTGGACTGAAATGCTGAGCCTGTCAGAATGTCACAGAGCCTTTCAGAATGCTGGTTTTGCTAGCATTTTTGCCAGATTGAGGTCCATTCCTTCAGTGGATGCTTCCCCTTTCCAGCTGAGGGACTAGAGAAAATTTCTGGTGGAATGGACCTCAAATCCTCACTTACAACCTCCCCTACAGGCTTCCCAAGAACCTGCAAAGAAGATTCAAATGGTGATCACATGATCACAGGTCACTTGAAAAATGCAGGCATGTTGAGGGCAGTGTAACCTTTTATTATGTCTGGACGTGCTTTATGAACCTTAAAGCACCATGGCTGGCCCGACTGCAAATGGCTATATGTAAGACTTTTAAAAACATTGCTGGTGGTAGTTATGTTTGGATATATTTTTGGTGTATATGAAACGTGACCCTAACTTTTAAATATTTTAAATATTTTATTTACCGACACCAGAAGTAGAAGGAACCTCTACCTCAAATTTTCATTTATGTTTAGTTAACATTGCTGTGATGTGTTATTTGACAATATTTAAGAAACTGCAGGCCAATCAGCATTATTCAGACAAATGAAAACAGACTGAGTGATATATCTATCTAAATTAAATATGTTAGAGGGATTTTACTTATAGATAAATGGAAGATAAAAATATTGAAGAAGCAGCTGGAAATAGAAGGGAACAAGAGAAGATAATGTCTGAAAAATAGAGGCAGTTGAAAAAAACCCCAGAAGAATATTTATATATTCAGTAAAAAAAGTGAGATGAATTTGGATTAGAGAAATAGAAAAATAACTTTAGTATATAATTAACATTAACATCAAAAGATGAATTAGCAGAAAATTATGTTTTACATCATATCTAATATCATATATATATGATAGTTCATAAGGTAATGGCAGGAAGAACAAACTTGGTTAACAACTAGTTTTTAAAAAATCTACTTCCAGATGTTTTAAATCCTTTTGTGCTGAATTTTCAGTAGGTGCTTGTCTTTGTGTGAAGATACGGTAGTAAAGATAATAACCCCAATATGTATAGAAGAATTTCTAGTGGCAGTTTTCCAAAACATTGAAAATGTTTTTAGAAGTAGTTAAATTTAATAGTGTAAATTGATATATTAGATACCCTGTTTCCCCCAAAATAAGACATCCCCTCATATTAAACCCAATCAGGCTTTTGAGCGCATGGCAATTAGGCCAAGTGCTTATTTCAGGGTTCAAAGAAATATAAGACAGGGTCTTATTTTCGGGGAAACACGGTATTATTTATTGCACTTTTAAAGAATCAGCTTCTTTAAATTGTTTTCAATTTGCACATGTCTGTCTAAAGAAGGAAAAAAAGATTCAGAACTATTGTTGTCAGAATATTCTTTAAGATGAAATCTGTTTTCCAAACTTTTAGGGTATGTCACAGGCAAAAAGAAAGGTATGATACTTGCATTATGCTACTCTTCAAATTAATATCTCACTTTATTTGAATGTGCTATTAAAAAGTCTTGGGTGAAAAATCAGTTTTTGTGCTTGGCTTGGCTTTGCGACTGTCCCATCATTAAAAAATTGATTTTCACATGTTATTCATAGTTTTCTGTTCATATCATCTTATCTGTACTGATGCTCCGTCTTGTATTTGATTTCACTGCAAAATTGATAATTCTGTATTACCTAAATATAATCAATACAGAATATACAAATTGATTGGCAGTTTATATTAGCTTTAAATTATTTCTACAACATATAAAGATAATTTGATTTAAATAAATATTTATTTCATTTTTTATAGAAAAGGTATTTAACATCAGGTGAAGTTGACCCATATACTCAGGGACTTTCTCTTCCTATTTGCGACAGAAGATCAGCTAAGGTAAGTTCTTGGGAATTTAAACAATTTACAGAACTGTTGTGATTTGCAAATATATATTTTGATATATTTTAACTTGCAAATTAGAAAATAAAAAGTTTAACAGTCAAAACTAACTTTGCAATGAGTGGTGTAAAGTAAGATTTAAGTTCAAATTCTTTTGGTGCCATTTTTTAAAAAACTAGTCTATTATTTTACCAACTTCCAATTTCAAAATAATTTCCCCATGTGTTTGGATAACTAATTACAGTATGGTATTCCTGCTGGTATGTATAAATGATCGAATAGTCAAGTTTCAGGAAAAATGTTCAGAGTACTACCTTCTGATTTTATATTGTTAATGCTAAAAAAAATAGCAGCTTTGTACTTTCAAAAATGAATATCAAATTATGATTTCCTTGTTCAGGTGAAATTTTGTTTTGCTTTGACAAAATGCATTTTGTATTATAGTGATCCCCTAGAATATGAAATTCTAAATAAACCTCAGAACCTTGATTTAATTACATGTAGAGTCTCCTTGTTTTTATATGCTAACAGATCATCCATATAAAATTGAAATCTGAGCTTTTTTGCGATCTTGCTTCATATATAGAAAGATCATGTCCCTATGATTTAAAACCTTTTGCTGCTTCTGTGCAATTTCTGATATTTGTTCTAGGACAGGTTAAGACTTGAAAGAAACAAGGAATACAATCAGTATCTCAGGGAAAAGGAAGAATGGAATGAAAGGTTAAGAAGAGTAGGGAAGAAACAAATAGAGGTAAAAGATGGATTCTTTTGCAATCATACTGGAAACAATGGAATGATACCAATGATTAAGCTGCAAGAAAGATTAATTGGGGATTGGCAATCTTTTTTTCTATTCCTTTATATAAATACATTAGCTTATAATTATAGACTTCTGTGTACTTATGAGACAATGGTGGACTAACATAGGTTGAGGCAATATAATATTGGCTGGTGTTTTTCTAGATTTTTATCAGAAAATGTTTATATGACATCATATAAACCCGCTCTTTTTAACCTCTTTTGCTTGCCATTTGTAAATATGTGAATGAGAGGGAAAAGTAATGATAACATTTTTGGCATATCTTTTCTTTGTATTTAGTTTAAAAATACCTAGACTACCTATCACCTCATATATATATATATATATACAAATAAAATGGCATGTCAACTGTTTCAAAATTATACAATATTCCCCATAAAAGTGGACCGGGGGGGACGACCTGAAATATAAAGCCATTTCAACCAGGTACCAGATTAAATTTATGAAAGGTTAAATGGCTAGAAAAATATAAAAAGTTTAAGTTGATGCCCAAACAAATACAGGGGGCTAATCTGAGCTTTGTTGACAGAATATTTTAAAATTATGGCATTACCAAACATAAGACTTCTTCCACTTTGTATCTTGCATTGCATGTCTTATACTGAAAGCAGTTCATTGTGGTTATTTAACGTGCCATTACATTTCCTCTTGCTTTTTGAGTGTTTGTGAAAATGGCTAATTAAAATTAAAATGTGACTTAAAATTGAAACAAATAAAACCAATATAATTTTATTGTATTTAGTCTTTAAATATTTGTCTTGTATTAACAGCATGACACAGATATCCATAAGCAAAATTTTGCTGTTAGCAGAATCCAATCAGAATTATATGCTCCAAATGTGTCTTTTCAAAAAGATGAAGAATCCAGCAAAAAAGATGCTTATACATCTACAGATACCTATGATGGGTTATCAAATATAAGATTATTGTTAGACCAACAACATAAACAAGATATTGAACCTGGTTTTGGGGATTCATTACTGAATAAAACACTTGATGAAAAACTGAACATTTCCAGTCGAAAGCAAGGAAAGCCGGATGGCAAACCGGATAACTATTCCCAAAGACATCACAAGTATGAGGATCATGATCCTGAAATAAATGATGAAATGGATCCCAGGTTTCGATATGAAAGTGACTATGACAAAAAACCATTGCGGGTCTTTCATGCCGAAAGGTAAGTTTACTTTTCTTATTAGTATACTTTGAGGTGAATGATGATAAGCATCTTTGTCCCTGAGTTCAGCTGTCCCATGTTAGCCCTTCCTATCCTAGATAATTATCTTAAAGCTAGCAATTCTTCTATACCACTGTACTTCGGCTACCTTGTTTTGTATTCAGAACATTATTGTATCATACTTATTCCATATTCATAATGTTGAGTACAGTTTCCAGAAACTTAGAAGGAAATTTATACATATATATTTAATGTAATATGAACAAACACAAATCTTAAATGTGTGCTCCTGAGATTATTTCACTCTGATACCTAGAATTTTTTCCAAAATCTAAGGATCATAAAATCAGAATATTAAGTATCAATATTTATAAGAGCATTAGAATGCCTTAAAGTCAGTATTTACATGAGTCTCCAAATTGCATGTTGCCTTCTCACAGTGCCTCTTGCAATGTTTCTTGCGATGCTTCTGAGGCCTTCAAAAGTATTGTGATTAACTAACAGCCATAACTTCAGGGACCAGGAGTAAGTACCATTTGTTCAGTGCTGTTGTAACTGCAAATGGTTGCTGAATAAATCATTGAGGACTAGCTGTATTACAATTCATTTCCTGTAGAAGAATGATTGGATGATGTGTGTGCCCCTGAGACTAGCACAATTTTAATCAGCATTTGTTTTGACACTTTTGCAACTTTGTCAGTTATACCTTTAAATAATATTTTGGATACTTTAGGATTTACCATTAAATCCTATTCTAAGTTGGCTTAAACTTTCTATATTTAAAAAAAATGATTCAGTCGCCAATTTTTCATCTTTCATTTCAGAAGTCAAGGATATTCTCCTATCGAGCACGTACAGACTGCTGTTGATAGAGTTCCATATGCCACAGGACTAATACTTGGTATGTTTTGAAAAACTGGGATACTGAAATATTTTGATATTGCATGTAATTATTATTCAGTTGTTTCATTATCCTTAACTCCAAATTAAACCAAGGACCTAATTAGGATTGATGACTGGGAAAAGGTCCCCTGGAGCAACCTCCTCAGGCATTCTAGCCAGCAGCTGCGATTCAGGAGATGTGGAGGCCATTGTCAAGGAGATAGATAGTTGGTATCCCAGCAGCAGCCTCAGCTTGTCAAAACAGCCCAATTTCATGCACATATTCCCCAGTCTAGTTATTGCAAAAAAATTTTTTTCCTGATCCTGGCATCACAATAGCTGTAGGATCTAAAACTCAACTTACCAGATTTTTGATAAGCTCATCTTTATCATTGTGCAGCCATGTCTCAATTATATACACATGAGGTTCACAACCTTTATCAATTTATGAGCAGACAGAGTATTATTGCACATAGATCTGGCATTTATCAACAGCAGTTAGAGACCAGTCACTTGACTCAGGGTGGGGCAACTGACTTAGGAGGAGGGAACTGTACTTATATGCAAATGAGATGGAGTGCTATATAAATTCAGTAAACTGAATGTGACCATACCGGTTTATAATGGTAGTTCTGGTAATCCCAGTTGGCATTGTTAGGCAAATCCCACACGATCAGTGTCCTAATCGCCATTTGTGATCTTCTGCCTTTGCTTCTGACAAGCAAAATCAATAAACTGGTAGTGAATGTCATAAATGGTGAGAATATGACTTTGGGACGCTACAATATCATCATTTCAAGCTGGTTGCCAAGAGCCCGAATTTTGTGACTGTGGGGACTTTGTGATGGCTGCAACTACGAGGACATGTTCCCCTTGTTTAGCATAGTTAGAATACTTGCTGAACCCTTAAATGAGAATACACATATTTCAAATACACGAGTCCAGCTGCTGTTTTCTGCATTTCATCTCTGATGTCAGTGTCAACAGCAACTCTTTCTCCTCAAGGAGCTGTCCATGTTGGGAGCACCATCCACATAGATACCTCCCACTGCTAATGTAGCCTCTATGTAGCAGATGTCTGGCAAATTGTTGCTTATTTCTGAAATATTTTCAGATTTCACTAGTCCAAAATTTCTTGCATTTCACTGTCCAGTTCACTGTTTTCCTCATTCTCAGATCTTCTAACTTGTCCTTATTCAAACAGTAATTTTCTCACTTTTATTTCCTCACGCTTCCAATATTTTCCAACATTCTCTCTTTAACTGTATTCAAGAAAACCTCTATACTGACGGACAAATTTAAAATATTAGATACTTTAAAAATATTACAATATATAATCTTGTTTCTTCTACTTTCTCATTCTCCCAAAAAATAATATGAGGTACTTTAGATAAAGCTGATCAAACATTGCATTATTCTGCACTACTTTTATTGTTTGATGCATTTGAAATTTGAAAAAAAAATCAATCCAGCAGGCTGGCATACAGGGGATTGGATTTCCTGAATTTTTTCTTGTTTGACTTTAGAGATCAGATATGTAGATACGACTCCTAGTTAAGTAAGATCTAATTGCTGTACTATTATTTTTCTGAAAATTGTTATTACTGATTTTTCAGTCTTATGAATGGTTCACTAAAAATGGCAGAGAGTGCCACTTAATTATTAATTCCAGTGGGAGTTCAGAACCATTTTATTGTTTGTTATCTAGTGCATAAGCTGTAATTCAGTTTTTGGATGTAAATAATATTTCTTATTATGGTTACAATGTTAATGGAGCTATGTAAGTAGGAATAAATATGGCATAGTTTTGGCTAAAGAGAAAGATATTTGCTTCTGTGTTTATTTCCTTTTTAGGAAGTCAAGACAGAGACTTTGTTCAGAAAAGAAAAGAACAATACAGGCAAGAATTAATAGAGCAAATGGCTGAGCAGCAAAGAAATAAGAGACGGTAATAGAAGACTGATGGTTAAAAATTATTTCATGACTGATTAGTAATAACACTTTTATTTTTACAGGTATATTGCAATTAGTTTGAATAGTGCAATATCAGATTTGGTGCAAATTATAAATTGATCATCTTAAGGCAATCCAGAATTCAGTTAGTGAAAGGCTAATGTGAATTTGGGGCAAGTGCATGCACAGTTGCCACTGGGGGTTTAGATGCTAAAATTTTGTGTGGGAAATGAAGGAAAGGAAGGTTCCGCTCAAGGAAAGCTCAGAAAAAAAAGAGGTTAATTTTGTAAAACTACAACAGAATATACAAGATAAGCACATATATTTTGTAGATGGGTTTTCCCTCTTTTACTGTTATACTGTACAGTACTTCATTAAAAATCTTATATTTAAACATTTTAATTGCCTATTTCTATTGAGCTGAAACCAATTAATCATAGATAGATAACTTCAAATAGTGTGAATTCAAATACAGTAATGTGATCATTATTGTTACATAGGATTCATCTGTGTTAGTTCTTACATAAAATTATATATATACATGATAATTGTATAACTTCTTTTTCTGTCAGAATAGTATTTTAATCTTTGAATTGCATATTGGAAAAGAATATTCTCTATAAAGTATATACATAACTACAGTATGTAGCTTTTAAAGCAACACTTTTGTAGATAATATAGTTGGATGAGTTTTCACAAATCTGATTGTAGCAGCTTTGGATATACACAGGAATTATAGGAATTTTAACTTTTTGCAGTATTTTGAAAATAATTTTCATAAGTATGAAACAGGGTCTAATGCAAAATACAAGAACCACATTTTTAGCTCCATCAGACACACTTTTTTGTCCCCCAAAAGTGGGTGGAAATGTCTGTGCATCTTATGGAGTGAATATTATGTCACAGACTGGGCCACAGGGGCAAGGGGGAGGGGGTTGGTGCAGCAACGACAGGCAGGACTGTCAAATTGCCTGTTGCTGCCACCTATCGCCGCCACCTATCGCCACCGCTGCCTATTGGTGGTTGGATCAGTCTCCCAGAATATCACCACCGATCAGCTGTTCCAGGTGGTGGCGACTCCTACCTCGTGGAACAGACAGCTGATTGGCAGTATTCCGGGAGGCTAATCCAACCGCCAATAGGTGGCAGCGAATGGCGGTGGCAATAGATAACGGTGGCGGCGAGCATTGATGGTGAGCGGCATCGATAGATAGCAACGATAGGTGGCGGCAACAACTGGATAGACCCAGGTCCCAGGAGAAAAAATCCATTGTGGGGACAACCTGACCTACTGGAAATTTCTTCCATAGCTTCAAGAGCTTTTGGCTGAAAGTTTTTCCTGCCTGAGCAGGGGGTTGGATTAGAAGATCTCCAAGGTCCCTTCCAACTCTATTATTCTGCTATTCTTCCTCCCTCCCTCACTTTTTTCCCTCCCTCCCTCCCTCCCTTCCTTCCCTCCCTCCCTCCCTCCCTCCCTCCCTCCCTCCCGTCCTTCTCCAACACTGTTGTTTTTTTAAAAACAATTTTTTGTTTTCTTGTTTTCCTCCCCAAAAGCTAATTGCGTCTTATAGTCCGGAGCATCTTATGGAGCAAAAAATATAGTATTCATGTGCTGGTTTGTGTAACTTTGCTTTATAACAAAAGAAAATTTGACTCAATATTTTGTTCTACATTTTATAAGAATGTTGTTTTAAATTGGTCAAAATTTATAATAAAATGCTGTATGCTTTTTAAAAAAGCTACAGTAGTTTTGGGTTGAGATGAAGGAAATGTCTAAAATACAAGCCTAATGATTAAAAACTTTTGTGGTAAGTTTTGGACATACTTGAGTCTTTCCTTCCTTTGAGATCTGTCTGTTGACATCTTTTGGAAAATGTTGATCTTTTTAATTCCTTTTTATTAGTTCTAACAGAAGTATCAGATTTCTGAATTGAGGGATTTAGTTTATATGATGGATCTATGGCTCGCTATGGATCATTAGGAGGAACCTGTTGGCCTTTGTCGTATCAGAGCACTGATTACAATGGGTTGAGCAGGTGAAGCTATAGCTTTCCCAATGGGGTTGGTTGTTCAGCTTGAATCTGAAAGATCTGGATTATTATGCTGAATTACCTTAGATAAATAAAATATCTCAAGATAATATGTGTCTTAATCCTCAGTGAAAGTGGGTTTCTCCCTTTTTATTTTAATAGTGAAAAGGAGCTTGAACTCTCTGTTGCTGCATCTGGAGTTGTAGATCCTGAGAAAAAGGTGAGTTAATTATTCAGTTCTTTTCCAACCCCAAAGTGTAATGTTGCCACCACCATGCTACGTTACGGATATGGTGTACCTTTGGTGACACACATGTTGTTTTTGCAGCATACATACATTTTGGAATTATGGCCAAAAGGTTCAACCTTTGTTTCATCAGATCATAACACATGTTTTTTGACTTCATGTAGCTTTGTAAATGTAGTCAGGGTTGGATGTTTTTCTTTGTAAGAAAAGATTTTGTTCTTGCCACCCTAACCCTCAGCCCAGACATGTGAAGACTACAGGAGATTGTAGTCACAATCAATAGTTGCCAAAATTTCCTGCAGCTCCTTTAATGTTGCTGTAGATCTCTTGGCAGCCTCTCAGACCAGTTTTCTTCTTGTTCATTCATCAGTTTTGGAGGTACATCCAGTTCTTCTAATGTGACTGTTGTGCCATATTTTCTCCACCCGTTGATGACCGTCTTCACTGTGTTCCATGGTATAATCAATGCTTGGAAATTTTTTTATACCCTTCTCTGACCAACACCATCCAACAATGAGATCCATTAGATGCTTTGTAGCACTTTGCAGACCATGAATTTTGCTGTAAAAAGCAACTGGGTAAATACCAGAAAAATCCAATTAGGACAATTGAACTTTATATGGGTTTGATCAGAGTCACTTTAATTGATGGCAGGTATATACTGACCACTGCTTAATATCAGTTTGTGATTGATTAATTTTGAACACAGCCATATTCCTACTTATAAGAGGATGTACATGCTTATGCAGTCACATTATTATAAGATTTTTATTTTTCTCCCTAAAATATTTCAGGTTTTTTTCTATTGAATTGTACAGCTTATAGGTTATATTAAAGGTGGAAAAAATTCTGAAGTGATTTAGTTTGGTCTGATGTTTTTACTTCTCAAATACCTGGCATTTTAACAGATGTGTAAACTTTTTATTTTCACTGTACACAGTGGACTAAAGATTGCTTATCTCTGTTATGTCCAGACTTGATCACTGTATTAGATAATATCTTTTTAGAAAACCTGAAGATGGTGAAAGCTATTTGTACAGCTAAATTTATTATCTCATTTTTGTGAAATATAACAGTTATTTATGCTGAATTACCACTTGGAACTGATTTGCTGGTCTTTTTACTTCCTTTGGTTGGCTTAAGTTAATAGAGGATAAATATCTCCAGTATTCTTTGAATCACTCCTGTAGTGAAATAGATCTTCTAATCTCACTATTGTTTTCTGTTTTGGTGTAACAGTACAATTTTGTTGGTAATGCTGCAGTTGTTAAAATCTTGATTTGAAAAAAAAAAGATTGATATAAAGATGTAAGCAGACAAAGAAGTTGCAAAAGATGTAAGTGCCCAATACATTGTGGATGAAGAAACAATGATTAAAGTTAGTGAGGTGTTGATTATTGGTTCATTTGAAGGTGAAATTAGAATCAATGAGATGATAATTAGATGTGACAGTGGGGGTGTGTGTCCTGTCTTATTTAAAAAACAGAACTCTAGATATTCACTATTAAAGTCTAATTTTTACAAATTAAGGATGTGGCAATATGTCATGGCTCAAACAAAGAACATGTCTGAGGATATCTGAAAAATATTTATTGGTACTCATCAGCCTGGAAAAGGTTACAAAACAATTTCCAAAGAGTTTGCATTCTACAAGTCTGCAGTCAGACTGAGTGTGTATAAATGGAAGCAATTCAATGCTATTCTTACCTTTCTCAGAAACGGTTGAGTAACCAAAATAACTCCAAGAGCAAGGTGCATAATATTCTGCAAAATATATAGCTTTGGATCAATTTCCTCAAATAAGTGAGTCATTTGTTTCGTTGGCTGCTCTTTATAGTTTTAGGATGTGTTCAGAACAATTATGTTTTAGGTCATATTTATGCAGAAATATTGAACATTCAAAAGGTCTCACAAATCTACAGTCATCACTGTATGTAAATTGTGGTATTTTTGATATTTGTTTCTGTTCCCCCATCCCATCCAATCCATGACCTTAATAGAATGTCTGCTATAAGCTTGTTGCTGGGTAGAATATTATATATAAATGTCTTAAATTCTTACTAGATAGTGCTCTGTTACATCATTAATAGTGTCATTATGTAATGGAATCTGTTTTTTTTAAAGAAAGAATACGCTGTATTGCCTTATCAAAAATAGCTATAATCTTCAGGTATCTTAATTTGATGATTATTGGCAAATAAATTATTGAATTGTGGGTCAGGATAATCTGGAAATACCTCTGTTCTCAGTGATATGTATCCACAAGAGATAGATCATATGACTGTCTTGGTACATAGGATACAATATAGTTACCTTGGAAAATGTATGGTGGGACAATCTGTATCTCAAAATAAGCTATAACAGAAGAACAAATGAATGTAGGTATAGCTAATATCTTAAGGGAAAAAACTGTATTTACAATGAATTAGTTGGCTGAAAACTGATAATTTTCATAATTTAATCTCTTGAGAATACTATCTACTTGCGTATTTTCTTAATTTCAAAATATGAGCTGGTTAAAGAAACAGTACTTAAGAAAATTGAAATCATACAATTTTCTTCGCTGTGTCTTGCTTGCCATTTTCAATAAAGAAGCGCTTGACTTCTTCATTTAAAATTGTATGGGATACCATGAAAGCGTATGTGAGAGGAGTAGCGATATCGCATACGGCGTTCAAAAATAAGGAAAAAAGGAAAGCTAGGGAGGCTTATAATAGGAAGCTAGAAGAAGCGGATAGTAAATTACAACAAAACCCGGGAGACGAGGTGACTAAACAAAAATGGATGATGGCAAGGCATAATCTCAGTATTCTGGATCAGGAGGAGTTGGCGCGAAAAATTAAGAGAATAAAACATTATCATTTTGAGAACGCTAATAAGTCTGGAAGGTGGCTGGCATATGGATTAAAAAAAGAACAAGAAAGAAATCAAATTCTTACATTAGAAGATTCCAAAGGTGATATTTTGACAAAAGAAGAGGATAAATTAGAAAGAGCGAGAGAATTCTATGAAGCCTTATATAAAGATGAAGGGATCGACCCAGACAAAACTGAACAATACCTGATGGAAGCTAACCTGCCACAGATAACGGAAGAAGAGAGGGAAATGCTAAACAATAAAATCACAATAGAAGAACTCAAATCGGCTCTTACCAAAATTAAAAAAAACAAAACACCAGGCCCAGATGGTCTTCCGGGGGAAATATATACAAAATTTGAGGAAGAAATACAATTAGAATTGTTAGAAATATTTAATGAGGTTTTAGTTGGCACAAGAATCCCAGACTCTTGGAAGGAAATTTACATTACATTCATATTGAAAGAAGGTGCTGACCCGAAACAAATAGCAAATTATAGGCCCATTTCTTTACTAAATTCAGATTACAAACTATTTACAAGTATAATTGCGGAAAGATTAAAAAAAAAATTAAATGGCTGGATTCATAACGATCAGAAGGGATTCCTCCCAGGGAGGCAAATGAGAGATAATCTGAGGACTGTAATAAATGTCATAGAATACTATGAGCAGCACCCGGAAAAACAGTTGGCGTTAGTGTTTTTGGACGCTCAAAAGGCGTTCGATAACCTGAACTGGAAATTTATGGTTAACCAAATTGATTTAATGGGATTTGGAACAAATTTTAGAAAGATGATCGAAAATATCTATCATAAACAGAGGGCGAGCATTCTAATAAACGGGGACAAGACACGGACATTTTGGATACAAAAGGGAGTTAGACAGGGATGCCCCTTGTCCCCTCTACTTTTTATAATGGCGTTGGAAATTTTACTTAGAAAGATCAGAGATAACAAAGAAATTAAAGGACTTCAAATCAAGAAAGAAACATTTAAAACACAAGCCTTTGCAGATGACGTGGCCTTAATAACAGAAGATCCCTTGAAATCTGGCCCTAAATTACTCCAGGAAGTACAACAGTATGGAGAAGTTGCTGGCTTTAAACTCAATAAAACCAAAACTAAAATATTAGTAAGAAATGTGACAGAGGCAAATAAGAAAGAGCTAGAAAAGTCCCTAGATCTTCAGATAGTGAAGAAAATAAAGTACTTGGGAATATGGATTACTTCAAGATACTCCTCTTTAAAGGAGGATAACTACATCCCATTATTACAAAAAATAAAGCAGGATATAGATAGATGGAAGAAATTAAAACTATCCTTTACAGGTAAGATTGCCGCAATCAAGATGAACATTCTCCCCAAAATTATATTTTTATTCCACACTATACCAGTGTTGGTATGTGTGGAATGTTGGAAATGTGGAAAGGAGGTTGGCACGTTCTATCATATGTGGTGGTCCTGCCCCGAGACAAAAAAGTTTTGGATAAAAATACGAAACTGGTTACGAGAAATAGTGGAAGAAGAAATAGAATTATCCCCTGAAATCTTTTTATTAGGAATGATCGGAGACGGACTTTCTAAAGATAAGATACATCTTATAATACATGTTATAACAGCGGCCAGGTTAACTTTTGCAAAATACTGGAAGGACAAATTAATTCCTCCAGAGGTAATACTAATAAACAAAATCTTAGAATGCGCAGAAATGGCAAAATTAACAAGTGATCTTAATAATGATGTGAACTCAAAATTCAATGTAGTATGGGAAAGGTGGTACAAATGGTGGAATAATAGAATGAGATTGTAAGGTTACGTTTATTTTCAATAATGATAGATTCGAATGTAATCGATATGTATATAATGTAAATATGTAATTACACGACACCTCAGATGTTAACAGAGATTTGATGTTTTTTAAAATTTTAAAATCAATAAAGTATATTTATAAAAAAAGAAAAGAAAAGAAAATTGAAATCATTTTTTAAATTTATTTCTCAACTGAGATTTAGAGAATTGCCATTGTTTTAATATTATACATGGTTATAGTCCAGTGAAATAAGGAGACCATAACATAGAGAAACCACTAGTTAATTGAAGAGTTTGAAAGTACCAATGTATTTATGTTTGTCTTTTAAGCTATCCCATTCTGTCTCCTCAATTCTAAGTCCAACTTTTGAACTTTTAGTATACAGGTCTAACTGAGAAATAAATCTGACTAAATGCAGCAGAACTCACTCCAGATAATACGTTAGAGAAGATTGTATTCTGAATTGGCAAAATGGGAAACCAAGGGTGCTTTTCAAAATGTTCTTCAATTCTAACCAAAATTGAAACCAACTACACAACCTTATAAATGTGTAACAACTTGAGGGTAATAATTTGTATGTGATCTAGTTCTGTAGTTGTGTACTAACATTATTGTATATATACTGTATATTGTACATGCATTATTGTATACAGCCTAACCTTTCTTTCATTGTACATTTTGTACATTCTTTTGAAGTGTATTTTTAAAGCCTAGCATCCAGTCCTTTTTTGCTGTACTCTGTTCCTTACAAACGCCTAATGCTGTTCAAAACAAGTATTTTGCAACCTGATATTGTGCATTGGAAGTCTAGGTCCTCCAGACTGAGCACAGATAATGGGCTTGTGCCCATTATTGTGGCACCCTTATGTTTTCAGGAGAAAAGGAAAAGCCTTTTTTTTTTTTTTTTGGCTTATGCCTATATTTTTAGTTGAAAGGAGGAGTAGAAGATGTTGGCAAATGCGGAATAATTCTGTATCATGCAGGATTACCTTGATTGGATAAGCAGATGTGGTAGAGGCACCTTTTACCTTTAGGCATCACATTGGTTTTGTATATCTTGTTGTGAAATGCTTTCTTTCACTAAAAAGAAAATGCAATATTGAGTACTTACTATGAAAGCTCCTTTTGGTTTGTTCTGGTGGAGGTATTTTAATCACGTTCTAGTCAGATTAGCTGACTTCACAATATATGCCAACAATGTTCCACTGCTTAGTTTTGTTTTTACACAAGCTAATATACTACACAGGTTGCATTTTATTATGTTATTTTATTTGTCTGAAGCTGCCCACCAAGGAGGAGGAGTCATGTAACATAGAATCTTGTATTGAAAGTTATACATGATACTTTCTCTCTGAGTAGTATGATGACATTACTTTATGGTGGCTGCAAGTAAAATGAAACTTCATGGTTAGTGTCCAATATTCCCTCCAACCTGAGTGTTCCTAAACCTGAAACAATTTGAGTCATTTAAGAAACTAAGCAATAAATAAATCAACTTTCTTTCATAGCCCAACAGACTAAAAGAGTTGGGATTAAAGCCTGAGGAGAAAATACCACCTGAAAGGCCAAGACCAGCTTTCTATACTCCTTCTCCTGGAATTACTTCTGTATCTGCACCTCCTGTGTCACCAGTGAATGAAGATTTCCATAGAGGCTTGTCCAGTGCTCTTGGAGAAGTGTTGGCTCCCAGGTGATTTTCAGTAGTGTTCACTTTAAAATTGGATAATGATTAGAAATGGGAATGGGTTTTGTCCATAAACCTCATCTTCACATTGCTGATTTTGGGTGACTATAATTAGCTGAAGAGGTTCTTGGTTAATCCTACTTTTCCAATGCATGCAGATTGACATGATATAATTAACTAGGGTTAGAAAAAAACATCAATTTCTCAAAACATGTGGACCCTTTTTGAAGAAGTTGATTTCTGCATGCTTGACACTAGGAATGAAGCAATGTTAAAAGGACAAAATGTCTAGGAACCTGGGCATTGAGTTAGATTTGTATATCTGAACTGGACCTTTCCATTGGGGTTAATGGAATGGTCCAGTTCAGATATAGAAAAATGAATAATTGCTTCCTTTGTAGGAATTGCTTTCAAAGAAAAAAATGGGAGAAACTGGTATTCTGTGTTTTTTTTAATGTGAAGTGTGATTTGGGTAACCATTAACAGGTTTAAATTAGGGTTTCCATACGTTCATTTTATAAATCTCATGTATTTTCCATTAAATGTAATTGATTACAGATCACTTTCTTGCAGTCTTTTGTTCTAGATCAAACATTGGATTGTACTATATTGATTCTGATTGCTTCATGCCAAAGAAATGAATGTCCCTTTTATACACATTTTCCTGGAATCTCATGTCATAAATAAATATCAGAAGTTAGATTAGAGTGGAAGATGCTGTTTCAGATAGCACTTCAGTTTAATATCTTTTTGCAATAATAATTTATTCAATCACTATCTTTTTGAGATGAATCTAATGATATTAATAAATGCTGTAAATTCCATTTCAATTAATCCTAAACTAAACATCCAGTGCATGTCACTTACATTTTAAGAACAGAATATACTCTTTTTCTAAAGGATACTTACATCTCCATACTTCTGAAAATTATATGGTCTAGGACATTTTTGGATGTGTATCAGATTTATGAGGATTCTCAAGAAAACGTATTCATATCAGATCAAAATATCTCCCCTTGTAATTTGAAGTAATGTGTAAACCCTTTTTTCTATAGTATTTGTTTCTATAGTATTTTTAATTTACAGTATACATTAAAGGAATTGTAATTTTCCTATATTCTGTTAAAATTATAATTATAAAATCTATTTACTTCATCTTTCATCTGTTTTTCCAAATTCTATAATAGTTCTGGTATATGTAACTACTCCATTCTTTCCTCCACATTTTTACTTAAATGTTTTATGTTCTATTGCCATTTTCATATGTGTTTCTTTTCTATTTTTTTACAAGTTTTTTATATATTTATTTTTTACAAACCTATCAATGTGTGAACAGTGTGGCACCTGGGTGTCATACATTCGGTAGTAGAATTAATCATAGTTATTACATTCAATCAACTTACATATTTCTAATAACGATACACATTTATATTAAGTTGCAATCTGTCATTCAATTATTCCATATTTTCTCTTGTTACTACTTTTATTTTATTATATAAAAGTGTATACACTTATATTCCCCCTTCTCTTATTTCTATCACTTATTCTAACTTTTAATCATGTCACCCTTTATTAAAAGGGCTATTATTATTATTATTAAGCTTTATTAAGGCTATTGCTTAACGCATTGTAAGCCACCCTGAGTCTTCGGAGAAGGGTGGCATATAAATCAAATTTTAAAAAAAAAAGACGTTTTCTTTCTATCCTACCTAACTTCTACTCATGTCACCTACCTAAAAAGAAAAGAGAGAAAAGGAAAAGCAAATAGAACAACAACTTGCCCACTTCAATACTTTAATTGCTATGCTTTTTTTGACTTGCCTCCCAGATTCCTCTCTTGGATCGCTGTCTGCATCTGCTTCTTGGCTATTCAATTAGGTATTTCTCCCACCTCTTCCACTGCCTAGTTTCCAAAATTTCTGCCCAGGCCCCTATCTTCCTATCAAACATACCTTCCAACTCTCTTAATATATTTCTCCCCTGATTTAATTCATCAGTTACTATTATTTTCATTGTTGTCTCCTCTTTGTCTTCTTCTTCCTTCATTTTGTCAAGTTCTTCTGTTGACTCCTCCCTTTCCTGGGCGTCTTGGTCTGTACTCATCATCCCTCGTATGGTGTTTTCCATTTTTCCACAATCTCCTTAAATCCTTTCTCCATGATGTCTTTTGTGTTTTGAAAAAGTAACGCCATCTCCTTCGAAGTTCCACTCATTTCTTCCTTATAAAGCATCTTATTTTGTTTTTTAAAATTCAACTTTTGTCCAGCAGTCCAAGAACTATTTATTCAGTCCTTACGTTGCCCTTCAAGGAGTGTACTAGTTCCAGTTCTTTTTATCCCATACGTAAAAATGAGTTCCATTTAGATAAACTCAGAAGTTATCAAAAGCCTCTTTCTGTCCCCTTTACAGGTTCAGTCTCCTAACATAACGTTCAGGGGTCCCTTTAATTAAATAGCTTCCTTATTTTCATATTTGGGTCTCCAGTAGTCATGGGGTAGTTAAAAATAATCCAGTAGGTATTTTCACAATCCTTCATATAGGCCCGTGATGGTGAACCTATGGCACCTGTGCCACAGGCGGCACGTGTAGCCATATCAGTGGGCATGCGAGCTCAGCTCTGGTGCGCATGTGTGCGCCGGCCAGCTGATTTTCGGGCCTTTTGGGCCCACCAGAAGTAGGGAAACAGGTTGTTTCCTGCCTCCGGAGGGCCTCAGGATGGTGGTGGGGAAGGCCCGTTTTTCTCTCTCACCTGCCTCCAGACCCTTTCTAGGAGTCTGGGGAGGGTGAAAATGGCCTTTCCCCCCACAGTGGTCCGGAAATGGACCCTGGAAGTTGGCAAACAGGCTGTTTCTGGTCTCTGGAGGGTGCCTGGGGGTGTGTGGGGAAGGCCATTTTCTCCCTCCCCAGACTCATAGAGAGGCTCTGGAGCCAGGTGAGAGAGAAAAACAGGCCTACTGGGCCATTGTGTGCCAGGAGCGGGGGGAGCAGGGCGGTCGCATGCGTGGGGGTGGGGCACATAGAATTATGGGTGTGGGCACACACACACGCACGCACGACCTCCCCCACCTTCCCTCCTGGCACGCAATGGCAAAAAGGTTAGCCATCATAGATATAGGTATTCCCAGACTTGTAGTTTTTCCTTTTGTCAGCAGGTGGCATACTCAACTTAAATTTCAGTATTGCCACTAGTGAATTGTCATTTTAGTTGTAAAACAATTATAAAAGCAGAATAAGTTTTGTAAGTAAATGATTCCAGCATTTTAAATACCTTCCCAGTACCACATCTTCCCAGTTTAAGAGTCCAATTTTTTGTATATTTCAAAATTTATTATTTTTCTCTCTTGCACCTTTAACTTCCGGTCTGGTATTTTCTTAGAATGCTTAAACACCGCTTTAACAAATAATTCTGAGCAGATAGTTCTAAATTCCGATTGACATCACGGCAATATCAGACACAGGAAACAGGTCTCGACGTTCCCTGTGCTGACTTCTCCTTGTTTGTGGGCTCTGAGAGGAGACAAGGAAGCCAAAAAGGGCACCCTGTGAGGTCGAGGAGAGTCACAGCTCTCCTGTCTGACCCAGGGTTCTTTTTCCTTCTCAGCCACGGCAAGAAAAAGAGGCAGCCTAAAGATGGCTGCCACAAAGCTGGGACAACCAAGGAACAACTAAGACTGGTGCTGGAGCAAAGTAGGTGAACAGTGCTGGAACTGGGGGAGAGGATTCCCTTTTGCTTTAAATTCATACGTGTTTTTTGAGGGCCTATAATGTCTGCATTTTTGTTGATTAACTTCAAAAATATCTCTGTTTTTGAATATGGATATTCATTAATATTTGTTGGGAATATTTTGATTTGTTCCATGAGGTCAGTTATAGAGCCTGGATAGCTCTGCAGACAAAGCACTGTAATTTAACACCAGCTGTCTGCAATTAAAGTAAGTTCGAATCTTGCCAGGCTCAAGGTTGACTCAGCCTTCCAGCCTTTCTAAGGTAGGTAAATTGAGGACCCAGTTTGTGGGGGCAATAAGCTGACTTTGTATAAAATATACAAAAGTATGAAGGCTATTGCTTAACGCACTGTAAGCCGCCCTGAGTCTCCAGAGAAGGGCGGCATATAAATCAAATTAAAAAATAATAATAATAATTTTATGGAAAAATAACTGCTGCTTAATTTAGTGCTTTATCTTCTGTATTATTTCTCTTAGTAAATCAGTCTACTGCTGCATTCTATCAGCTGTAGCTTCCAAGTCATCTTCAACAGCAGTCCCATAACAGGAGTCAGATCATGTGATATTGAGGTCATTGCTCCCCATCATCAGAATTTCCTGCCCCTGACAGAAGCACAAGTAGCTTAGTAGACTAAGCTGGGCAAAACCATCCTAGCCATGGCCTCTATTTTCTCTTCTAACAGTAATGGCCTATCTGGAAGAATCCCCAATACACCAATTTGTTTCTTCAGAGATAGTGCCGCCTCAACTAGAGCTAACTGGAACATGTTTATGGATGAAGAGTTCCTTTGTACTATTTTAAAAAGTTGCCTCATGTTTTTTGTCTAGAATTGCCCCCCTTCGCCCATCCCATCCACCACCAATTTTGACTGATAGTTATAGAACTCCATATGATGATGCCTACTACTTCTATGGTACCAGAAATCCTTTGGATCCCAGCCTCGCATATTGTAAGTTTTATTTTATTCTTTTCTTTAGAGTGATAAAATATAGCTTGTCTTTCATGGATAAATGTTACTGAATTGATGAATTATGGAAATATAGAAATGCAAGTTGGGTTCAAAAATTCCCAAGCAATGCTTACCTCATCCCAAATCTTTGATGATAATTGATGTGGCTTTGATGATAATTCTTTCAGTTTTCTCTTTTACCCTCCTTCCCACACCATGGGAGAAGAAAAACAGCTGTTTTAAGCTGTTCCTCTATTTAAAATTATTTCTGCCAGTGTGCTTTCTGAGAAGTATTTCTTCTGATTCATTTAACTTTGAGGAATTAAAAAATAGTATAAGTAGTCCTTGGGTTATGATGGCAATTGGGATCAGGATTGCTGTCACTAAGTGATGCAGTTGTAAAGTGTGACATTGTCACTGCATCACTTAGCTAACAATCATAATTCCAATTAGCTAACAAACGTAATCCTGGTGTAACCCCAGGACGCACAGGTTGTTAAGCAGGAAGAGGCAGAAGTCCCAAATAATGGGCATGGGTGCTGTCGTGAAGGCAGGGGGAAGGCTTTGGGGAGTGGGTGGGTTATAGTTTTAGAGGCCTTCAGCTTCTCTTTGTATGGCACATTTTAATCCCCATATCTGTATCTTTGTAATCTGCCAATATCCTTTTGGACATGTGGTGCCTAGAATCACAAATTACTGCAGATATGGTTTTAATAGTAAAGAGTACAAGGTAATGAGAACTTCATATGTCTCTGATACAGTGCTGCTTCTGATATAGTCTGGAATTACATTGGCTCTTCTAATAGCTCATAGTGTTGACTCATATTTTCCTTGTCAGTGGCCACACCCAAGTCCTTCTCTGACATGGTGCTGCTAAACCCCATATCCCTAATTTTGTATGGATGCCTTGTCTTTTTTCTCTGTAAATGTAATACCTTTCATTTCTCCTTATTGAAAGATTTCTTATTCCTCTTAATCCAATCTTCCAATGTCTAAATTAGATTTCAATCTCATTCTGTTTTGGATGGCGTTGAACAGTAGTTTCTAGTGTCATCTGCAAATTTGATAAGCAACTAATTAGTGTTGCTATACAGGCTATTAATTACAATGTTGAATAATACTGAAACCAAGACTAGATCCCTGTAGGATCACCTTGGATTTATAAAGCCATTAATGCTTGTCGAGTGACTGAAGTTATAATGGTGCTGAATAAAGGGATATATGATCCATACCCAAAATTACAGATGTTGCAGCACCACTCCCATAGTCACAAGTTCAAAATCCAGGCACTTGACAGCCTACCAGCACTTATGACCATAGAGCACTTCATCTTCTCCCATCTTTCCCCCCCCCCACTCCCACCCCCGATCTGTGCTCTACTACCTGGCTACTGGGTGGAGCTAGGTCTGGGATTCGGCTGTAAAAAAATAAAAATGAAGCCAAAAGCAACTCAAAGCTGTGGTGTTCCAAAATGCTCATTTGTGTCACACTCCTGGACCAGGTTGGGCCATGCTTCAGCTGCAGAAAAAAAAGCCAAAACTGCTGCTCTCACAGCAACAAAATGCCCCTTTGTGCTGCAAAAAAAAAGGGGAAAAAAAGGCGAGGCTTTACAGGAGTATGAAAGGGCATTTTGGCATGCTGAAGCTCTGGTGCTGCTTTTGACTTCATTTTTTTTTTTTACAGCCCAACCTCACCCAGGAGCGATGCAAAAGAGCCTTCACTATTGCTCTTGGGCTTTTTGTTTTTATCATGGCCTGCCAGCCATTCCAGCCATGCCTCATCAAAAGCAGGAACAAGAAGATGGCAGAAAAACCCAGCAGAAGCAGTGGAGGGCGTCGGGAGTTATGGAGTTTAGGGTGGTGAAGGCAGCTGCAGCTTTCTGGAGCATGACAAGCATCCTCAGAGTCTTATCGCTCTGGGTCTGCTTGCCATCCCACAAGGCAGGTTGCAGACAGCCAAAAGGGCAGAGATGGGGGGAGGGTAGATGTATGGGAGACATTGGAAGCAGTCTCTTACCTTACTGAGACTTGGGGTTGGAAGGGATGAAGCCTAGAATGGTTTGGATTTGGGGTGGGTGCTTGGCTAACAAACGGTTGCATTTGTTTAATGACATCAATGGAAAGTGCCGGTATAGCGGTTGCTAAGCGATACAGTCATGTGACATCTTGCTTTATAACCAATCACTTAGCGATGAAAATTCCAGTCCTACTTTTAGTCGTAAATTGAGGACTACCTATAATCCTAGCAGCGTTTACCAGCCGATTAACAGTATCACTATGCTTCTGATGATAATCATTTGATATTTATTATTTCAGAATATGTATATTATGTTTTGCTATATATCTGAGATTTACATTTTGGATATTTTTTACTATTTTAGATGGTGCAGGTGGGACACAGCCTTCATCTGCACCACCCCCTTTTGATACTACTCAAAAACCTCCTGTGCCCATGTAAGTACAAAAAAGTACAAAATAATAGTTTATATTGTTTATTTATTTCTAGTTATGAATATAATTTTGAAATGATTGCCAGCTTTCAGAACTTAACATAATATATAAAACAGACCACTTTTGTAGCTGACAAGATTATACAGGAAAATTATGAAAACGTCACTTAAAATACACTTTCTTTAAATCTTTTTGATGCAGCAGTAACATTGGCACAAGCATTGCAAGTACCAGACCAAAAGGTTTGGGAATATTTCCTGAGGAAAAACCAAAACCCACAAGAGAGGCTACCTTAGCTTATCAGCAAGAATTACAACAGCAGGTAGGAAGGTGAAATCTGTCCAGAAATTATTTTTGTATTTTCAATTGAGGTGTTAGTTTTTAAAAGAAATTTTGATAAGAGCAAATAATATAGATAAACACTGGCATCAGTGCATTTAAAACAGACAGCTTGATCCAGTCTACCTTGGGTATGTTGCCAAAACAGACAGCCTTCTCCTCTCCCTCTCTCTTCTTCCTCCTCTTGTCCACTCCTTTTGTAATCTGTGTATATAGAAGTATTATGCAGGATGATAAGATTTCAAAGGACCAGAATGGTACAGTGGTATTTAAGAGTTTGTGACAATTTATATCTTCAGTATTCATATAAGGACTTTATTTAGACAAGCCCAAACACACTTCAACAACCAGGAATAGCAGTAAATGGAAACAGAGCATCCTTACAACATATTTCAGGAAAATGGATATCCATGCAACTTTATCAAAAAGTCCCTGACCTCTCAACCCAATACCACACAACCAACACAAGCCCTAAAAAGAATTACACTGCCATACATCAACAATATCTCAGAAACCACCAACAGTCTACTACAACCACATGGAATCAGCATAGCACACAAGCCAACTAAAGCCCTTCAAAACATTCTAAGCAGACCAAAACCCAACGACCCCAGGAGAAAAAACAGGAGTCATCTACAACATACAATGTAAGGACTGCAACAACCACTATGTAGGACAAACAGCCAGACTTGCAGAACACATCCATGAACACCAACTAGCAGTCAGAAGACATAATGAAAATTCTTTAATTTCACAACATATAGACAGATTTAACTATATGTTCAATTGGGAAAATTTGACTATCCTAGACCAAAAACACCAGGGAATTTCTAGAAATCTGGCACCATAACAAATTAGCCATTAATAGGCACATCGACATAAACAATATCTATAGATTATTCAAAAGAGACAATCAACTAGCCATAAAGAGAACAAATAGAACTAAGCACCTCTTCATCAGCAATCAGCACCCAGTTGAGCGTAGATTAACTCCAAGAATAACATCAGACACACAGTCAAGTAAACAATACCCTAATCAAGAAACTGCCAAAGAAGCCAACAGCAAACAGCCCAACCATAAAATCTCTAAGACTATCCCCACCAACACTGACAAGCAAGCCACTAGAATATAAACTGACAGCAAACTGCACTCCTTACTAGTGTTGATTATATTACCTAGTTTGGATAATGAAATATCTGCAAGAAAAAAAGCAAGCTCAGAGAGCACCAAGGACCCTCCTGAGGTCTACAGCAGGATTGTCAAACTGGTGGCCTGCGAGCTGGATGCATAATGCACAGGCCATGCCCACCCCAGCTCTGAAAAGGCAAAAACCTTGTGATATGTCATAATACATCATATGATGTGATCGAGTTTGACACCCATCGTCTGCAGTATATTTCCAACTTTAATATATTATTTACATCATTATTACAAGATCAAACTCCTGCAATACTTATAAAATATGAATATTGAAATAGCTTTCCAAAAATGCCATGTGATTTTTAATAAGTATAAATACATTATGGTTATTTTTCTTAGTGCTGGTTTAGGTATTACTGATTATTCTTTTATACACCAATTAAAAAACTGGACATTTTTGTTTAATCTAATTTGTAATTATATATCACAATAGGATGTCAGTATTGTTTAAATTCAGTATTTGTTAAAAATAAGTGCTGTTTCATGTATATTTTATATAGATAAGGGAAAGAGAAGAGCGCCGTAGGCAAGAAAAGGAAGAAAAAGAACGCTATGAAGCCAAATTAGAAGCTGAAATGAGAAATTACAACCCTTGGGGAAAAGGAGGGGGCGGAGCTCCTCTCAGAGACAAAAAAGGAAATCTTATAAGTATGTTTGAAAATCTAATTATCTTCCTTTTAGTTCTTCAGACTTGTAGCTGTTTATATATACTATCTTCTAAAGGGCATCTTGATACACAAGAAAAATGGATGTACTACAGCGAATTTACAGCATAGAAGGATTTTTTTTCTGATTAAATAATGTGGTTGAAAAATATTTGCTTTTATGTCAACAAGAACTGTTTTTAAAACAGGATTTTTAAAAAGTTGATTTGACAGAATTGCATTAAGAAAATGATGGTTGGAGCAAGAAAGGGAGTCCTGTGATACCTGAAACATCTGGACCAAGATTTTTTTTTTTATAGGCCTTTCTATATTCTCAACAAAGAGGCAATTGAATTACAGTTTTCTTATAAAAATTGAAGGATCATTTCTTAGTTCTGTTAAGAAGTTCTGTTTTTTCAAAATAAATAACAACTCAATTAATGTTAACTGTTATCCAAAGAAGTTGTATGTGTCCTTTTGGAGCATGTGTACATGCAGTAGAGATTTTAATTTGTATAATATTTTAATCATATTTTAATCAGAATTATAAACATCACATTGACTGTTTAACAATATTAGGCTGGAGCCATTGCTTCTTTTCACTGAGGAAAACAGCTTTCTAGGCAGAATTCTGTTCATTGTGCTCAAGTTAGGTGGAAGGGATAAAAACCAGTTTTGTTAATTCTCTTTTTCCTTCACTTTCCACATCTGAAATACTGTATTTGAAGCAGATTGTCAGAAACAAAAAAATACAGGAGATTAACTAGAATTTACTTCTCTCCATTTTTTGAAAATGCTGTTGAATTAAAAGCCTTCTTGTAAAGAGAAGACATCAATCTCTCACAAGAAGAATTTGTCAATTCAATCCTTCATATATAAAGTTTTAAAATATCTATGTTTTAAAGTAAATCTTGCATTAATCATTTAATATTATTAGGTAAAAGTAAAATGTAATAACAAAATTGAAATAAGAGTACTACAAATTGAGTGACCTGAACTCTTATAGCTAAACTGGATGATAATATTTTTAATTTTAAAAAGTTTTCTAAAATTTCTTGACTTATAGTAGAGTTTGAAATAAAGAATATTGTACACAGTGCACATAATTCTGTTTTAGATTGAGGGCCTCATGCATCCTTTTAAGTGTAATTCTGAAATAATATTTCTTGAAAATGTTATAAACATGTCATATTGGAATAAAATTTCCCCCTTTTCTTCAGCGGACTTGAATATTATGCACAAGCAAAATGAAGATGCATACCATAATCCAGAGGCACGAGTATATGAAGATAAAAGAGCTATAGTATCTGTTGACCTAAGTTTGGCCTCACCAAGACTTGAAAATACAGATGAATCTACAAATAAAACAGCAGGTTTAAATGCTAATATATTTTCAGTTGCAACCGTGTTGTGTCATTGGTCACAATTATTGTTCATTTTTCCTATGCTGTACTTTCCACTGAAGGCAATCCTATATATTTTTTCAATTCTCTTAAAGCATATAAAGTGAAGTAGTAGATTATTACATTATGAAAGTTGTTACATCCCTGTTGACTTCTGATCTGCATCAAAATGGACTTTGTGCACATGCAAATATTTTTTTCCACTCATTTACAGGCTGAATTCACATTTTGGGAATGTAGTGAGGTTTCTTTTATTTTGCTTAGTGTGGTACATTAATGGAATCAGTGAATAATCATTGTTTTAAGGCAATAAACAGTTAAATAATGATTTTTTTAAAAAAAGGTCATTGCAAAGGTAGTCCAGCACAATAGGCAAATGGGGATAGTTAGATTTAGGAATAACTTTATTGTCAGTTTGAATGCACACTAATTGGCTACATTAAAATGAAATTACGTTGCATACATCTCTCAGTTGGGTTGTTCATGGTTTCTGATTTATTTCTGGTTTGCATTTTAAGCCCAATTCAATTTGTTTATCTTTTTCCTTTTATATGGGCATTTATTTTGTATGAGTGACTCTGAGGAATGATCACAATTAAAGTGTCAATATAAATACAAAATGAAATTGAAAAATTACAACTATCATCAAGAAGCTTTTGAGCAGTTATAGAGGCAAGACAAATACCTAAAATAAGAAAAAAAATCAAAGCAGGAATTTGTTCAACTGGAAGATTGAGTAACATGTTCATAAATTACAATAAAAAAATCTCGCTTGATGGAATATTATAATTTCCACCATATTGTCTTATTTGAAAACAAACCCTCAACCTATCTAGGGTCATATACGGGACTCTTCTTCGGGATTGCATTTGGACATGCCTCTTCCATCGTTTTTAAACATCTTTTACACCAGCAGTCCCCAAACGTTGCAGCTTGGCAGCCTGGCTGGATGGAGAGGGGAGCCAGGATTCACGAGCAGCAGACAGATGCACACGTGCATACATACGCAGCTCAACTGCAAGTTGAGTTGTGCGCACAGGCACATGCACACTGGCTCACCATTCACATGAGTTGAGTCTTGCTCGTGTGTGCACCAGCCCATGGCTGGTTGCAAATAGACCATGGGCCGGTAGTGGGCTGCGGCCCGGGGGTTGGGGAACCTTGTTTTACAGAACTACCATTTTAGCAAACTGGACTCGACTTAGTTTCAGGGCCTTTGTATGATTTGGGGTGAAGAAATGGAAATTATTGCTTTTTAAAGTATGATTTGAAGGGGGAAAAGTGGATATTCTGAAAACTGAGAAGTTTGGTTATTTTGATGTATATGATTGCAATCAATGCATAAACATTTGAAGAAAACTCAAGTGTATATAGATACCAGTATGTTGTAGATGCAGAAGGCTGCTTTTGATCTACAAGAATCTGGGAAATGAGAAAAAATATTAGAAATGTAATGGATTTTTAGTTTTTTGAGAAAAAATTGTCAGAATACTAAACTTCTCTTCAAGATTTTCACATTCTCAAAACTGACCACATAGAAATAATAGATGTATTGATTTTAACATTTTCTGTTTTGTAATTTTTTTTAAAAAAAATGCAGTTGCCCTTTTAATTTAAAACAAATAGGAAAGGAAATGGTGAAATTAATTTCAAGTATTGCCAGATATACGGTATTTTTCTGTCTATAAGATGCACTTCCCCCCCCCCAAAGTGGGTGGAAATGTCTGTGCATCTTATAGAGCGAATGTTCCCAAAGCCCTGCCCACTCACTAGACCCACCCGCTGGCCTCTGCCTTCCAGCAATTTGCCTCTTTGCAGCAAACAGCAAAAAGCCTGATCAGCTTCAGCACAGCCTGATTTAGTACGAGCAGCTGATTAGCGGTTGGATCTGCCTCCTGGAATACTGTGGATCAGCTGTTCCAGGCTGCAGGAATCACTGCCGCCGCCTATTGCCACCTCTGCACGCCTCATTTTTGGCCTCCGCGCATCCCGTTTTCAGCCTCTGCATGTCCTGTTTTCGGCCCAGTCCAAGTGGCGGTGATAGGTGGCGGCAGCAATGGGCGGCTATGGTAACAATGGGTGGCTATGGTGGCGATGAGCAGCAGCAATCCCCACAGCCTGGAGCAGCTGATCAGTGGTATTCTGGGAGGCTGATCCAGCCACCAATCAGCTGTTTGTGCTAAATCAGTCTGTGCTGAAGCTGACCAGGCTGTTTACTGTTTGCTGCAAGGAGGCAAATTGCTGGGAGGCAGAGGCAGATTTTTTTTCTTGTTTTCCTCCCCAAATGCTTGGTACTTCTTACAGTCTGGAGCATTCTGTAATTTGAAAAATACGGTAGTCCTGAAAATCCACCCCCATCTTATTAAATTATTTAATTTAAATAATTCTAATTCTTGGTATATGATTGCTAAAGCACAATTCAGACCATCACAGTAAAGCCTTTGAATGCAAAAAATGTTGATTAATTAAAGGCTTGAGGGTTTTTTTCTATATCTTTTCTCTTGTCAGTGTGTCCATGCATATTAAAGAAATGGTTGAAGGGTGTGCATATCCATGTTTCTATCTAGCAGTCATTTTCTCTCTCCTTTCCCTTTTGTAAGGTTCTTATTTTGAAGAGTATATATATTATGTCTGGACTTCCAGTTCCCTTAGTCGTCTGTGTTGCAATCTTTATTAGTATTGGTAATGGAAAATTCAGTCCTTTCAAATTTGTAGCTTTTGTTTTTGCTTCCAGTGGAGGTAGGTAGTGCCTTCTATAGAAAAATCCAATTGATTTTTTAAAAGCTTTTTAAAAATACTTTTGCATTGTTAATTGCAAATATATCTTAAATTGGGTAATAGCAGTACATTCAATTACAGCATAATTATAGATTATTTAGCGTAAGATACCTAGCACCAGCTTAAAAGCATTTGCGATAGGACGTATTACCAATGCTTACAACTTCCCTCCTTTTCTTTTTTAAATTAGGCTTTACATATACACAAACATCCCCTTTTGCACGGGGTAATGTTTTTGGAGAGCACCCAAGTCCAGAACAACTAAGGAGACAAGAGTCATATAAGAATTTCCTTCGTTTTCAGGTAAGTATATTTGTAACAATATTAAACAATATTTCTGATTTAGCTTATTCCCATTTTCTAAATGCTGCTGTAGATCTGGGCTTTCTACAGATTAAATAGTAGTGTTTTTATTTAGTAGTAGCAAATTTCAAATACTGAACACAATCCCCAAAAGACTATGCACCAAAATTCATGAGGCTAAAATAAGAAAATTTAGGTTTATTAAAAAGTTGCAAATGTATCATCCCATCATAATTTCTAACTAACACTTTTTGAAAAATCTTAGGATAAATTTGTGTAGACATCACAGAATGTTCAGTGTTAGGGAATATGAAAACTGACTAGTGGGGAACTGGACAGAATATGAAGTATGCTCAAAAAGAGTCAAAACCCTGAGTACTTCAACACTTCAGTTGCAACATGTTGTAAATTTCTGCTTGGGAGAAATTTTCATTTCCATTATTACCTGCAACCATTACATGCGGCACTAGTGAATTATATACAATCAAAAATTCTGTACTTTTTGGAGGAGTTATGAGAAGATACAGATCATCACCCTGGGGCTAGTTCCTTTCTATGAGAAGATCTCCTTTATCCTTGAAGTGATATTCTCTACCACAATCCTCATTCTCCATTACAGTGTAGGAAACTGCATCCTGGGAATGGAATCAAGCTGTTACATTCTAGAAATTAGAGGCAGTGCTTAATTTATGACCACAATTGAGCCCAACATTTATGTTGCTAAGTGAGAAATTTTCTAAGTGAATTTTGCCCCATTTTACAACTTTTCTTGCCACAGTTGCTAAGTGAATCACAAGAGTTGTTAAATTAATAATATGGTTGTTAAATGAATGTAGCTTCCCCATTGACTTTGCTTGTCAGAAGGTCACAAAGGCTGATCACATGACCCCAGGACACTGCAACCGTTATAAAAATGAACCAGTAGTCAGGCATCCAATTGTTAAATCACATGACCTTGGGGATGCTGCAATGGTGTGAAAAATGGTCACAAGTTACTTTTTTTTAGTGCTGTTGTAACTTTGAACGGTCACTAAACGAACTGTTGTAAGTCAAGGACTACTTGTATTGTCAGTGTAGCTTACTGGTTGTCTGAGCACATATCGTTTAGGATTCTGGTCTCAATAAAAAGGGCTGTTCTCTGATAGCTTAATACATTGAGGATAAATGCATAACTTGTACATAATAAGCAGCTAGTCACGTATTTATCATACTTTTAGTATATTGGGACCACTCCTTTCCGAATTGGCTTTCATCTTCATACTAGCTACTGTTGCTACATTTGTACTCTTTAGGGATTTTTGTATTTTCATCATTTAGAGCTCTGGTCTCTTTTCACCTAACCTAAACTAACCTTGATGTGATCAGTGTATTCTTTCCTTGCCTTTTTCCTCCATTAATCTTCCTCACGAAATTCCACAATTCTATTTAAATTCCTGATCATGAGATTCCAATTGCTTCCCCTCTTCTTTATTACAATATTCAAGGTTAGTCTACTATAACTACTAACCTTCATAAAAAATACTAAGATATACAATGGTTTTCATAGTATAGATGCATGTATTGACACAGTCCAGTGATTAAGATTGCTGGGGAGAGAAAAGACTTCCATTGATCAGTAGTTGGTCATAATGATCTAGCCAGTCTAATTAGTTATATATATATAATATATATATTATATATATATATTGTTTCCAGATAGAGGAAAAAAGAAAAAGAGAAGATGAAGAACGTGAAAAACGAAGGATTGAAGAAGAAAGGGAAGAAAGAAAGTTAGCTGAGCAGAGAGCTAGAATACAGCGAGAGTATGAAGAGGAACTGGAAAAGAGGCGAAAGAAAGAAGATGAGGTATGATTATAAATTAATCTGATTGATTTTTGCCATGAAGAGAACAGTTACTTCCTTTTATTATCCAAAAATGAGACAATAAATTACTACTTGTGTAATGTATTCCTTACATCAGGAATTTTTTTAAAAAGTCAAATTCCATATTTTTTTTGTCATAGGAAGTTGCTAAAAGACATCTTCCTTGATTGTATATTTCTGCCTGATTAATGAACAGGTAAAATGTACTTATTTTTCACCAGTACTCCAACTTCGCTTTAATTAATATGCCAGTAAAGAAAATGTGTATTTCTATTCTTTAATTGGAGGACTCCTGTTAAGTGGGGAACAGCAAGTAATTTAGTTAATTAATATATGTAATGCAATTTATATAAAATGAAAGTATTTTAAATATATCAGTTTGATTTACAAATCTCTCACATAAATATTCAAGCGGACACTTGGTAATATTACAAATGGATAGGCTTTCCCATTCTTTGTAGTGCAAGAAAAGACTTAAGAGATGCAATTTGGTCAATTGTTATCTCATCAACATTAGATTTAGTTTGTATCATTTCCATTTTTATCTTTATAGCAAAGATTAAAAAATGAAGAATTATATAAAATAGCTGAAGAAAGAAGAAAAGAAGCTGAAAGGAGAAAGATAGAAGAAGAAGAAGAAAAGAATAAACAGGATATTGAAACTGAAAAATATCTGATTGATGAGAAGGTAATTTAAAAAGAAAATCTTAAAGTCTGCCTTATTAGCTTAGATCCAAGTAGGGTCATCTCCATAGAACTCAAATCTGCAGTTCGAAGCACATCCCAAAATGCTTCAGTCTCAAAACCCATGGTCTTTCAGGAGATCAATAAGAATAGCTCCTAGTTTGATGTTTGAATCCAAAGCACCGCTAATTATTGTAAAACAAATTGCTAAACATAGTATTAAAAAAATATCTTAATGGCATAGAACATTGGAATGTTTAAAGTTGGGCACCCCAAAGGTGCTATTTCAAAAGGCAACTGGACTTTCTTTATTTTTCCTTGAAGACATTTCACTTCTCATCCAAAAAGCTTCTTCAGTTCACTGTGTGCTGGTTTGCCTGAAATATGATCATGAGGCTGCAGGAGAAGACTCTTATGTTTTATGATGGCTGGAAGTGCTTTATGGCCCATAAAGCATCCTTTCCGAGGCTGTCATAACTTTAAAATGTTGTTAAATGACCAGTTGTAAATTGAAGATTACCGGTAGACATTCCCTAGATTAAGATCTGAATACGTAAATTCAACTTCATGCAAATGTTTCCTTAAATCACATTCTAAAATGTTTAACAGCATAATTCGTAAGAGTTCAAAGTAGTATAGAACATTGGTAAATATATTAAACAGACTTAGCTTTCATTGGGTTGTGCTGTTGAGGCTTAGCTGATCATAGCATAACTGATGGAATTTCATTTTGTAACGGGCCAGGTCCTGTTTGGTAGTTGTCACATCAGAGCATTTGTTTTTCTTTCAATACTGTGTTAATTGAACGTCAGGTTTACATATACACATATACAAATGCACTTTGTATGGATAAAGAATAGGGCAGGGAGAACTTTTAAGTCTCTCTGTTAGTGAGAATTTGTGCCCAATGGTCTGGGCAATGGATTATTGGATCCCACACAGCCACTGTTTATGTATTGATCAAAATTTGCAAGATAGATGCAAAACACAAAAGAAACGTTCATTTATATTTCTGCTTCCTCTTTTCCTCCTTTTCCTACATGCTCAGAGCTAAGGATAGTGATGTCCATTTGTTTTATTAGTATTATAGACTACATTTGTGTTAAGAAAAATAATAATTGACTTAACTTATGCTAAATTTCAGTTATTATTTTCATTTCATAGTGTGAGAGAGATTTATTTTGGGAAAATGTATATATAAAATAGAATGATAGCAGGACAAGCCCCTTTCTGAAAGAGTGGTCTCAAGAGAACACAGATTTTGCAGCGTTAGGTTTCTGATGATATTATGTCCTAATTGTGTATTGTTCTATTCATGTTCAAATTAACATGACCAGTATTACACACTGACAGTCTGAAAAATTTGGGGGCTGAAACCATAAGGAAAGTATTATATGGCTCTGCCACTTCTACATAAATGTATTTACCTTCATTGAGTTTTATGCTAGAACAGGGTTTCTGCCACACTCTTCCTTTTTGTGTATTCTAATTTTTAATACAGTGTTTAATTTTTTAAATACAATTGAATTCACTTTATCCAAAACTAGAATTTCTATTAATATTAGCAAGATAGAATATCAGTAATATCAGAATATCACTATCATTAGCAAGATAGAACTTCAGTCAATATTGTTTTTTGCTTCCAAAAATGTAAATTCTGTATATTATTTGACAATGAGTTTTCATAAATATGTTCCAAACCCCTGCTTGTTCTCACTTTAAAAATAAATATATCCAAATTAGAACATTAATTAATTAATATATATTGCATCAAAAGAAAATTATAATGATCTTTTAATTGATAGTTTAACTATTGTATTTGTTGAGGTCAGTTTTAGAAGTGCACATTTTCATCTGTCCATTTTGTTGTTTATCAGATTTCTAGACACCCTTCTCCTCTTATACCAACTCTTCAGAGTAAACCATTAGTAAAAGAAGAAAGAACACTTCTGATGAACAGTCGCTTGTCTTATTATACACAAGTATGTTTGATTATTATACAGATGTAATTCAGGAATTACTGTTAGTGTTGTATTTCCTAATTGTGTTCTTGAAAGATTGTAAGTTACTTGGAGTAAGGGCACATCAACATATTAATTTATATATTTATTCTCCTTAGTAATGTTTAATAATTCTATTGACATTACTTTAGCCACAGTTTAGAGCACTATTTTCCAAACCTGGCAACTTTAAGTCTAATTTTGCTTTCTTCAGCTTGTAGCATATGTTTCATGACTTAGAGGTTCTAAGAATGTGTAATTCTACTGTGTGGTTAATAATAATTTTAAAAATTAAATGGCAAATAAGATAACTGATATAAGGTAAAGGTTCCCCCACACATGTGTGCTAGTCGTTTCCAACTCTAGGGGACAGTGCTCATCTCCGTTTCAAAGCCGAAGAGCCAGCGCTATCCGAAGACATCTCTGTCGTCATATGGCCGGCATGACTAAACGCCAAAGGCACAAGGACCACTGTTACCTTCCCACCAAAGTGGTCCCTATTTTTCTACTTGCATTTTTTACGTGCTTTCAAACTGCTAGGTTGGCAGAAGCTGGGACAAGTAACGGGAGCTCACTCTGTTATGCAGCGCTAGGGATTTCAACCACTGAACTGCCGACCTTCTGATCAACAAGCTCAGCATCTTAGCCACTGAGCCACTGTGTCCCTGATGATATACATGGACATATTTTTTTTTAAAAAAGAACATCCTTCCTGTGCAGCATTTCAAATTAAGGAAATATCTATCATTAAAACCAATGGATTATTCTTTCTTAATACTAAATGTTATGGGAAAGATTGAGTGACTATGGTTATTGATAATGTAATTGAGAAAGGAAGGATTATATCTCTTTTCCCTGGTTGTAGTTTCCACCTTCAATATTTAATTTAACAATTACTTGAACATGAGTTATATTGTTAGTATTATATGTAATCAGGCCTTAGAATGCATGACACCAAAGCCAGTAAAAGTGAGCTATTTCTCTTTGTATAGATGCCATATAAATTTAAGTTTTTTTCTAGGATGTACCCAGAGCTCAGTCCCCGCCAGTGCCAGCTAGAAGAAATCAATTACGTACATATGGTAAGAAATCTATAACTCTTCTTACTTTGGTTGTGTTAATGACCAGAATATATATTTCTAAAGGAAAATGAATACTGGGCATTCTGTACCTAATTATTGTTATACTGAATTTGCAGAAGAAAAAAAGAATGTAATAAATGAACTTTCGGAGATGAGAAAGCAGCTCCGCAGTGAAGAGCGACGACTACAGGAACAGTTGTTAAAAGTATATAGTGATGATGATGATGAAATGCCAGGGAAAGGGTAAGGAGTTTGGTTTGTCACAAATCATTTGATAAAATACAGATTTCTTCTTGGGAAAGTGATGAATATTTTAATTCAGCAGGTCCTGACCTTTCCATCTGGGGGTGGGGAGAGGGGATGGTTCCGTGTGAGCAATGGGTGGGTGCATGTACAGCTCCATTTGCACAAGCACACCTGCCTGCTGCTCATTCAAGTGGACCTGTGCGGTGTGTGCTCTCCTGTCACTTCCACAGCCCAATTCCAAACAGGCCACGGCCTGATACTGGGCCGCGGCTCAGAGGTTGGGGCCCCTGCTTTAATTAGCAGTAAAGATACTTGTATGGAGTTAAACATTTTAGAATGAAAAAGTACCTGAAGACAATATTGGGTCTTTTGGTTTTCTACGTTTTGTTACCACAGATGCCTTACCATATATACTTTGCCACATATACTTTTGTATGTGAACTGGTATCCTTTCATTAGGAGAGACCTGAAATACATTTTATATAAAATTAAAGGGAAATCTTTTTATAATTTCTTTCTTCTGGAGCTGCCCCATAGTGAAATATCAGATAAGGCTGTGATGAATCTGGTTCCGAAATTGTTTATGATCTAAAGAAATTCTGCTTTATAGTTAAACAATAACAACCAAACAAACCCATATTGTCAGAGTGAGGGCTAACTGATTCAATGACTGTGTTGTGGGTTCAAGTAGACATTCCTGGATTTAAGCAATTGCTTAATTTAGTTCATTGTTAATCATTTGTATTTAGGTTGGAAATTTGAGTTTTTCTAAGACATATTATAATTAAAATAGTTTCATCCCTGGCTGCTTTATTTAATGAAATACTTGATATATTTAACTTCTTTATCTTGGAGATTATTTGTAGTTCTTAATTTATAGCCACCATTAATAACTAAACTTTAATGGAAACTATTTGCCTAAAATAACCTAAAACCTAAAATAATGCATGGCAATGCATATTGTCACAGGTGTTACTGCATGTAGTATTTGTAATTAGTAAATTGTAAAAATTGGCTTCTCCATGTCTTTTCTAATTGGCTTTCTAGAATTCACAAAATTGGAACATTTTTTCATTTTGTTTTAGACCCATTTTTATCATCTTCAGAAGAATTCACTTCTTTTAAGTGAACTTGTATATTTTTGAAATTTGGATTATCTTTTTTGCATGATTTTGGTAACTTTCATAGGAAAAAAGATAAACAGAATTTGGATGTATTTGAAATGGCCAGACTCCGCATGCAAGCTCCAGTAAGGCGACCATCTTCAAAGGAGATTGCTGATCCTATTAATCTACAGAATATCCGTGAATTTAATGAACTTAAATATAAAGGTTAGTTGGCAAACTCTGAAATGATGTCAAAGAACCAAGCAACAAGCACCAAAATCAATTTCTCAGCATTTATGTGTGTACCACAGAAAAAAACAACAACCCATGGTGTTCTTAGTTTTGTAAATGCTATTCTATATGTAGTTAAAATGATGCTAATAACATACAGAGAAAATTTATCAGCACACATAGAAACTTGGAGCTTGCAAAGTATAATATATTTTTATAACTGCCACCCAGTGTAACAAGAACAAACAACAGCAGAGTCCAATTGGAACTACAGTAGGTATGGAATATTGCCTGATGGTTGACAAAGAAAAAAGAATGGTAGTGTTGGGATCAAGGAAAGGAACAGAATAGACTGGCTGAAATCGTAAACAAGGAAAACAAACTGAAATATTTATTTCAGCTATCAAAAACAAGTAGTCCAAACAGGATTAAGAGCAAGAAAACTCCAAACTTTGCAAAACAGGCAAACACCAAAAAATTGAGCTACTTGAGAAAACTAACTAACTTGAGAGAACTAACCTAGGGTTTGGGAAGTCCCACAAAAACTCGTTTAGCCTCTGCTTTTTAAAATAATTGAAAATGCACATAAAAAAGTAAGACAAATTATCTCAAATAGTAATTGTTTAATAAAGTCATTGAGTATATAGATCATGTGTATTTAGTCTCCCCCTTTGCCAAATTTTTCTGTTCAAATCTGTTATCATCTTTGGCAGATAATTATTTAAACAAGTTATGTATGTTTGAAGAAAAAGATGTGAGACTTCTAAATGCTTTATTTTATGTTATAGATTCAGAAACACGAGTAGAAACAAGACATTTGTATCCTGATCCTCCCACCAATAATGATACTCTGGACATTCAGCAGCTAGCATTGCTAAGAGAGCAAAAAAAGAAACTTAAAAAAATGAGGAAAAATGCAGAAGGTAAGCTAGGGCTCCTCAAACTAGGTGTGTCTTTCATGGCTTTAATTTAGCTCTGCAATCTTTATTTTGGTCTTTGCACATACCCACTTATACCCCAAATATAAATATTTATGTCAAGCATGGGAAAATCAGACATGCAGGCAGTTCAAATGAATATAAAGGTTTATTGCAAGCTTATGCTCTATATGAGAATCTGAGCTACTAATGGTCAAAGCTAATTGGCGGCAGATAAGAGTTAATGGAATTCAAAGTGGGCTGGACTTAGATCTCTTGTGGCGTGAAGGGACTCAAGACTGATGACTTGTTTGACCCCTCCCTCAGGCTCAGCCTGGTATTTCCTATGATTTATTATCTTATATAAGATCAGTGGATACCTATTGCTATTAGCTTTGAGTTCTGTCATATCAGTTGGCTAATTGCTGCAGTATTTTTCTGCCATTGATGCATGTGGGTTTTCTCCTACCTCTCTACAGGACACCTCCATCTCCATCTTCTGCGATTGGGCAGAAGTCTGGCATTCTAGTTTCTCATAGTTACAGTATTCAAATTCTATTAAATCAGATTTCTGGGAGACTCCATCTTGGCGATGATTTTGGGATATCAAAATTAACAACAAGGGAATTTTCAATTGAAGTTTTTAGATCTTGTGTTATAGAATTGCACAAAGTATAAAAAAATTAATAAAGTTGTTTCACTGCAAAACAAAATATTATGTTAACAATACAGTACCCATCTTTTGGGGGGTTTGCAAATTGTCTGAATATTGATCAAGAACTTATTTAAAAAAGAAAAAAAATGAGTGAAAAGGGTTGCACAAAACTTTGGGGAATTCATAAGAAAAATCCTATTTGTACATAAGTTCTTCAATAAATGTCTAATAAATTGCTGGATTTGGTGATAACATTCAATTTTCTACTTTATTCCTGTTCCATTATCAATTTTTTTTATTTGCATGTGATTATAATTATTAACATTACTATTTCTCAGTAAAATTCTATTGCTATTGGTGTGATTTTGAATGCATGGCTTTGATAATATTTATTACATTCATTACATACAATTCTAGTGTTGTGGAACACTGTCAGGGTCCTTTGGTTTTTAATTCTATTTTTCTTGTCAATATATTTGCTTTATTAGGTTCCCTAGATTTTGATGAGCCGGTATCTAGCATTAGATCAAGAGACAAAAGATTGGTGAGTAACAATACAATTAATTTACTCATTTTTTTATTCCTTATGGGAAATAATAACTTTGTGAACTCATGTACATATACTAATTCATATTCCTTGAACCTTTGCCTTTTATATTCAGTTTTCATTAGAGATTTCACTTTTTTATATGGGGATTATAGCTCCAGGTTTTTCTGTGCAGGTTCCACCTAGTTATCTCTATGACTTCTTTAATGGGTATCTAATTTGTCTAAATTAAGATGGTATCATGGGTTACATGTATAATTTTCAAAGGCTTCTGGAAACAGTGCCTTTGAAAAGCAACAATGAGGTCAGTGTGGGCTGGGATTCATATCGTGAATGCTTATTAACAGTATTGAATAGTCGTGTAATTGTTACACATTTCACTATAATTTGAAGGCTGAAACTTGGAACAGTATTCTAAAGGGTCTTTAGTTATCTTTTAAAAAACAATTTCTCAAAAGTGAGAGAGAGTTTAAAATATTTCCTTAGTAGTGAGAGTTGGATATGTTTAAGTTTTATGTTTGATCAAAATGAATTTGATCATTATTGATAACATTATTTTGTATTTTTTGCAAAGTGGAAGTGTGAATATCAGATAAGCTGACACATAGAAAATTAAAGATATCTCACTTTGAAATAAATATAGTGGAGCAGGAAAAGCTGCACAAAGGAGAACCAAAATGATCTATGAGCTGAAGTAGATCCATTGTTTGGAAAGTTTCAACTATTGAAACTTTTTCAAATCTTGGATTAAGGCACTGAAAGACCACTTCCATATTGTTGCCAAGAAAACCAAAGGGAGATATTCATAGCACATTGACTTCAGTTGAAATGAAATTTTACTTTTAATGAGGAGACACAGAAAAAGATTAAATTATGGAGGCAGGGATGACGTTGTGGCGGTACGGTAATGACTTAGCAGGGCTCCACTAAGCCAGCTGAATGTTCCCTGTCAGGAGGCCCTTAGGGGGTCAAAAGACACCCTGGAGAGGTGACAAAGTAGAGGGGACGCTCCATGGATCGCGAGGAGGAAAGTAGCCCCTCGCAGGTCCGGAGGAAGCCCTCAAACCGACAGGAGAAGAAGACGGTCATTATGGCCAGAACAAGCTGGAACAGCCCCATGGAAGAAGTGACTTTGTGTTTTTCCACATTTCAATGCCTTGGGATTATAAATATACTCAACAGTGAATTGAGATTTATAAAGTCTTGGAGAATTGGTAGGCCTTGTGGATTACAAATATTTACTACTAAGAGAAGAAGGAAGCAGCTGTGAACTTTGAAGAGTGAACTGAGAGTTGCAACATCCAAAGGTATTGATGGGCCTTGTGGATTACAGATGCTAGTTATTGAGAGAAGAAGAAGAAAGGAAAATAATTATTTGGAAAGAAGTACTCCACTCTACTACAGGATAAATTTTTGGACTGATCTGGTGTATTATAAAACTTATAAGATTATGATACAGGTGGGAAATAGGAAGAGAAAAGAGTGTCCTTTCCTTGGTTTAAAACAGGGGGGTTAGAAGTTGTTTGGGGGCTAAGAGATTATTGTGGTGTATTTTACTAAATTAAGGTCCCATTTAACCTGGTTAATAGACATAAGTAGATACAAGCAGAAATGGCAACCAATCCAAATTTAAGCAAGTTAGGAAAGAAAACAACATCTGCACCATCATCTGCAGTATTATCTGTAGCATCAAGTCCATCAAGTCAAAGATCGATAGAGAGCATGATACAAGCAGAGAAATCAAATTCATTTCAAAAAGATGTGATGACAATGTTCCAATCCTTACAGGAGGCGATAATGAAGAATCATGAGGTGAAGATTGAGTTGGGAGAGGTAAAAGAAACGGCACATGTCATGAATGAAAAAATAGGGAATTCCCAACATATGATAGAAAAAAAATGAACAAAGGATTCAGGTAATAGAGGAAAAATCAGAACAAGCTGAGAAAAAAATAGAGGAAATGAATCAAAGGCTTACACAGGAAAATAAAGAATTGGAGGAAAACGTGATTTCATTGCAAATGAAAAAGGCTGCTTACTTCTTGAGATTCCAAAACATAGAAGAGGAAAAAAAGAGAAGACCTACCTGATATAATGATAGAATTGCTGGCAAATGCCTTACAAATTACAAAGCAGGAAATGCAAGGAGAAATAGATGAAATATTCCGAATACACACAACCTATGCAAGAAGACATAATCTCCCAAGAGAAGTTCATGTCAGATTTATCAAGATGATAAGAGTTGAAATACTTAAAAAAGCGAGAGATGAACCTCCACAATATAAAGGCAAAGAAATTGGGGTGTTGAAACAGGTGACAAGAAGAGTAAGAAACCTAAGAAGACAATATAAATTCTTGACAGATAGCTGATTAAATACAATGTAAATTTTAGATGGCTGACACCAGAGGAAATTTGGTAACTTGGAATGAAAAAAAGATATAGATTGGATTCATTAGATAAAGCATATGAATTTTATGAATGTCACCTTGGAACTATGAGAATTAGTGGGATAGAAACTGTAAATTAACAATGTCAACGGCCTATAAGAAAAATCTATACAAAATGTTTTATAGATGGCATTTACCACCAGCGAGGCTAGCAAAGATGTTTGAAAACTTATCAGCTAAATGTTGGAAGTATAATGTTGGAACCAGGTTCATATTATCATATGTGATGGACATGCCCAAAGGCAAAAAAAATATTGGACTAAAATACATACTTGCTGAGAAAAAATGATAAAACAACACATAGATTTGAAACCAGAAATATTTCTTCTGGGGATACTACCAGAACAGTATAATAAAGGGAGTACATATTTAATTTTGCATGTAGTAATAGCAGCAAGAATAGTGTTTGCACAACAGTGAAAAAATGGAGAAGTCCCGACAGATGAAAGTGTAATAAAAAAAAATATTAGAATGTGCTGAGATGGATAGATTGACACTTAAGATAAAAGAAAAGGAAGAAACAGAATACTTTTTAACACGGGATAAATTTTATCAATGGTTAACTAACAAAAACAGAGGTTAGAATTTAGAAAGAATTCTATTGAAAGAATTGTATTGAAAATATTGTAAGATGAACAAGCTAATTGTTTTATTATTTTATGATTAATATTGATATGTTTATTAAGAGTACTAGTATGATTATGGTTATTTTTGTACCTTTACTCAAAATTAATTATGCCCAGACAACACGCTGTTCAGATAGACATGGAATTTTTTATGTTTTTAAAGAAAAAATGTACCAATAAAATATATATTTTTTAAAAAAGAAAAAGATTAAATTATAATATTAGAGAAATCAGATAGAAATCTTTCTCGCTATACTGTATTTCAGTCTTGTGTGTACCCAGAATGGTAATGAAAAGGAAGTAGTTCTTTAACTTTTTGTAGTTAAATTGAAATTTATTACAAAACATGATAGTTGCCAATTAGGCAAGAGATTAGATAAATTAATCCTTTAAAAGAGGTACATGACTAGTGGCTAGTAGTCTTGATAGTTATTAATTACCTTCACTATTAGGGTTTTTCCTCTTTCAGTGCCAGGTGAACATGAACAGATTCTATTGCACTTCCACCCTGCTTGTGGCTATACAGAGGCATCTTGTTGATTGGACTAGATAAATACATCTTTGCTGTGCTTCATTGGGACTTTATTTTATTCCTTCATTTAATAAAATTTATTCTGGATGAATAGTTATTTCCAGGGTAGATTATATACATGCAGAATGAAAGATATATGGAAATGAAATTGTGGATTGCTTTTTAAAAAGTAATTTTTCAGTACTGCATTACATTTATTCAGTAATATATTAAGTCAAGATCCAGATTACTGGATCTTGACTTAATATATTGAAAGGCTGCTGTAGGAACAAGTAGGAATAATAGAAAAATGTTATCAATGTTAAACAAAATAGACTGTTGATTTAACTTGAATTTTCTGTTGCTTTTTATTTGTAGATTAGAGATGCAGACTCAGATGGATTTATGAAAACCTCACTCCTGGAATCTGAGAGTGCTTTTATTGGTGAATTTATCTTTTTAGTATTTTATATTTGGCAGACTACTTATCAAGAAGAGCTATCTTGTATGTATGCTGCATTCCCTTCAGGTTTATGCAGCATTTTAGTTATAGCTAATATTTATTGTTTGTTTGAAAGGTGTATATCATCCTATATTTGTAGGAATAAAATCAATTGATTTTCAGCTATTTCAGTTTTCTGGGTTTCTATAGATACATTTAATAGTTTTCCATTATTCAGAAATACAGCGATAGCAGTTTGAATGTAGTGTGTTGAAGCATCTTCTAAATCACAGCTCTTCAATGAATGAAGTTACTGGAGACTTCTTTGGTCTAATTTTTCCATAATGCAGTAGCCCTCAATTTATGACCACAATTGAACCCAACATTTCTGTTGGTAAGTAAAACAGTTGTTAGGTGGGTTTTGCTCCACTTTATGACCTTTCTTGCCACAATTGTTAAGTGAATCACTGCAGTTGTTAAGTGAATCTGGCTTCCTCATTGACTTTGCTTGTCAAAAGGTCGCAAAAGGTGATCACAGGACCTCAGGACACTGCAACCATCCTAAATATGAACCAGTTGCCAAGCATCAAAATTTTGATCACATGACCATGGATATGCTGAAATGGTTGTAAGTGTGAAAAATGGTCATTAGTCACTTTTTTCAGTGCCATTACAACTTTGAATGGTCACTAAATGAATGGTCATAAGTTGAGGGTTACCTGTTTATGATTAACTAATATAGTTCAGAAACTATATTTGCAATTTGAATACTGGATTTGCTTAAAAATCCAGTATGAATTTATATTTTGACACTTGCTTCTCCTAGATACGGATGGTGAAACTTACCCAATTTTAGAAGAGCACAACTACAATATGAATATAACTCCTTCACCCCCTGTATCAGCAAGAGAAAGAAGGAGAGAGAAGAAGGTAAAGGAATTTATTGTATTTTTTTCTCCATTGAAGCTTTGTGTACTTAAGTCTACCTGAAGTCAAATTTTACCATCTGTTTATTTTAACAAACCTTATTCAGTTAAATTCTCTCTCTCTCTCTCTCTCTCTCCCTTGATGAGGTAACTAGCCTTTTCTTTATAATGTTTCTGTGTGATATGCAAATTTTTGAGTTGAATATGTGGTTATTTTGGCAATTCCAGTAATTTTGACTTGACAAGCATTTCATAACGACCTCAATGCCTTCCGTCGTTCCTTGAAAACCTATCTTTTTCAGCAAGCCGGGTTGGCTTAAGAAGAAATTTTAAAATTTTAAAATTTTTAAATCCTTTTAATTAGTCTGCGATTTTTAATTTTTTGGGCCAAATTTTATATATATTTTTAAATGTTTTAATATTTGTATTCTATGTTTTTTATCTTGGCTGTACACCGCCCTGAGTCCTCAGGGAGAAGGGCGGTATATAAATTCGAAATTAAATTAAATTAAATTAAAATAATAATTCAATCATAATTCTCTGTATCTTCAGGATGATGCTTTTCATAGGGTGACTCCACCACCACAGTTGGACAACAGCTCTCTCCACTCGAATTCTAGTCTCAATATAGATCTATTAAAAGCCAGAAATGAAGAAAGGCTGCAAAGATTAAATGAACTACATAAGGATGCCGTTCATATAGGTATGATCTTTTTATTGAATGTTAGGACAGAAATTAAAAAGGGACTTGGTGGCTCAGTGGCTAAGACGCTGAGCTTGTTGATCAAAAGGTCGGCAGTTTAGCGGTTGAATCCCTAGTGCCGTGTAATGGGGTGAGCTCCCGTTACTTGTCCCAGCTTCTGCCAACCTAACAGTTCGAAAGCACGTAAAAAATGCAAGTAGAAAAATAGGGACCACCTTGGTGGGAAGGTAACAGCGTTCTGTGCACCTTTGACATTTAGTCATGCCGGTCACATGACCACAGAGATGACTTTGGACAGCGCTGGCTCTTCAGCTTTGAAACGGAGATGAGCACCACCCCCTAAAGTCGGGAACGACTAGCAAATACGTGCGAGGGGAACTTTTACCTTTTACCTTTAGGACATAAATTATTGAAGAATTAAACATTTTGTTAGATTTGGAAGAACTGATTGATACAGTGTGAGCAAACTTTACCCAGAGCAACTTTTCCCAAACTTGGTAGCTTTCAGATGTTTGCAGCTCATTTTGCAGGATTCTCAGAAATGGCTGAGAAACTAGAAACTAGCTATGTATTCCTGGAAGATGACCTGCACATTTGGTACCCATAGGATGGAAAAGGCTAGCCAAGTGCAAAGTATTGCATATATGCTGCACACTCAGCATACATGGCTAATATGCCACCAAGGTTAAACTACTGCACAGAAGACAAGAGTGCTGCACTGCACTGCACTGCACTGCACTGTCATTACTCTTCCTTCCCACATTCAGATTTTTAACAAAGGCAAGTACATTAACAGTTAAAATGGAGTGGTGGGGGTGGGGGGTAATTGTTCTGGATTTTCTTTGTAGCCTTATAATTAAAAGAAGAAAAGACTAAAGCAGAAAAAATCAGGAGGTAGCTACAGATCAGCTTAGATAGCAAGTTAGTTGTAGCCTTTTTTCACCTTGTTGGATTCATTTGAATGTAGCCCTATAGTTATATCACAGACAGACTTACCGAGTTTTAAGAGGTCTTTAAGTCAATTGTATGAAGGTAATTGCTGTTACTGTTAAGAGATTTCTTAACAGTCGTCATCTGAAATATATTTTCCTTCATTTAATCTTATTTGATTGAATCTTCACCTCTAAGTAACCATACACAAATATTTCAGGTCTTACGCATAAGATATTTAAGTGCTATGAAGAGTAGTTCCACCATGTTTTCCTGCAGTCCTTTCTTTCTTGAGGCAAGAGACACCCAATCCCATGACTTTTGTCCTTGTATGCCTTGTTTTTTATGCCAGTCATATATTTTAGTTTTAACCCCCTCAAAGTGCGATGCTCAGAGTTGGATACAGTCCACATTTAGTCCATATTCTGATAACATTTCCACACAGAACTTGAGTATAACCTCTGCTGTGGTATTACGTGGAGTGGTTTCCATGAGCATCTTTTCTTCAGTTTTGCAGCCCTTACTTTCAATTTTTCAATTTGAGATTATAGATGTCAGACTGCCAACCTTAGCTGCCTCATACTTGGTTTCCCAGACACTTATGACCTGGCCCAGGGCTGTTTGCTTTTGTTTTTAAAATAAGTGCTCAAATAAAAAAAGGAAAGGACAAGGATCAGGGGAGAAGAACAGGATGTACGGGTATGTGGGAATCACCTTGGGAGATGGATAAAATTTGAGTGCTAAGGTAGACGAGTGGCAGAACCCTCCCTAGATTTGGGAGCCTAAAAATGAAGGAAATAAGGAGTACTTCCAGACTTGCCAGATTCTGTTAATGTAATCCTGTAATAACCTTGTAATACTGTAATATTACTACTACCACCAGCGTGGTTGCACAGTGGTTAGAATGCAATATTGCAGGCTAACTCTGCCCACAGCCAGGAATTTGATTTTGACCAGTTCAAGGTTGACTCAGCCTTCCATCCTTTCAAGGGCAATAAAATGAGGACCCAGATTGTTTGGGACACTGTAAACCATTTAGTGCTGTAAAGCACTATGGAGCAGTATATACTGTAAATTTAAGTGCTATTGCTATTTCTATTGATAATAAAGATAGATCTCGTACTTCTTGTTTTAGACCACATTGCAAAACTGACATCAATCTTGCAAGCATGAAAGTAACCCTACCTATGTTCATTGTTATTCTCCCCAAAAGCAGGAAGAGTCCCTTCTGAGATGCTTTCACCACCCCTCTTCCCTCAGACTCAAATTTTGTTTATCAGACTGTAGGCTGTGGCTCTTCCTGTTTTCCAAGGACATTTCCACATTCCATTAAATAGAGTGCCTGCAGTAATACAGTTTTGGAACTATTTCACTGGCCAGCTTGAGAAAAGCTAATTGGCTCTGATGAATGCTAATAATTGCTATGATGGAGCTAGCCATACACTGTTGTGCAATTCAATCTGAAGTTTTGAGGATTAGAAAGACTAATGATGCAGAATATACAGGATGCATACAATCAGTAGAACTATTATTTTTCAGGATTTAAAAAAAAGGGGGGGATTTAAATAATAATAATAATGGATGAAATTCAAAGTCATCTGAGTTGATGCCTGCTTGCACAATAGAACATTCTTCCCTGTTGCTCTCTAGAGTCCTCAAATCTCCTTAACATAATTTTCCATGATGAAAGGTATATACAGTATAGGAGGCTTCAGGAAAGTTGGGGAATTGCCTCCTTTCCTCGACTACCATTAGTGGAACTGTAAATTGAATTTCTCACTGGAATTCTGTGATCAAGCAGTCAACATCATCTTAATCCTTTTTTGCAGCATGCATCTGATTTATAATCAATTTATCATTGATTGCATTAAAAGTAGCATTAACTACTTAACTCAGGCTACTGAGCCAGATACGTCACATGCAGGCCACACCCACCCCAGCTCAGCGAAGGCAAAAAATGTCACGATACATCGCATGACATCAATGTGACATGGCAAGTTTGACACTATGACTTAACTTGTTCTTTAAATTTCCTGACTGCCCTCCACCATTCAGTACGCAAATTGGCTTTTCTCAAATTTATATGTCTTTATTTGAAATTCCATTCGGGATTTTTCTGAGCCAGGTTTACCATTCTTCCAAGATAATTTTGATCTCCCCCTCCCCTGCTTTATGCAGTCTACAAATGTGTTGAAATTTCCCTTCACCAGGAAGCATTATATAGCAGGTACTATCACCATAAAGAAACTAATGAGGTGTTGAAAAAGATTTTTCTGCAAATATCATATATTCTTTCTTGATAGGTTAGCATATTCCATCACCAAAATCTGGACTGATTTTTGACATTTTCTTTTTAGAAAGGAAGTGATAGTCAGGGTGAGTAACTGACCAAATTTAGTTTCTTTTAGTTATCTTTTAGATAGACTCATAGATATTTGAAGATCCTTTTTGAATTCCAGTTTCTCAATGCAGCAAATGCCAAAAAAGATTTCAGTTCATAGAGAAGCTCTTCTGGGTGCATAGAGCAGCTTTTTTTGGTGAATGCTACCATGTGATATTCAAACATTTGATTTTTCCACATCATTTAAAAAAAAAAAAACCCAGCTTCTGCACACCATTTTACTCTTTCTTTGGAACCTCAATGATGTGTCGAGATATTGCTCCTAGGTGCAGTTCTGTATAGTATGGAGTCCTTAAATTTTCCTAAGACTTTATATTGGGTTGGACCTATTATCAAATCTGACATAATTATTTTTTGCTGAAGCTGCGATTTCAAGAAGAATCTTTATTGTAGTTTGACTTTTTTATTATTAAGATTGGCTTGATTAAAATTAATTTATTCATCCCTCTTTACGAATTAGATATGAAACTGTAGACCCCAAAATACTCAAATGTGATACTTGTCTTTCGTATACACAAATTGGTGCTCAGAACTTCCACCTATGTTTTAGAAAGGACTGAATTTATCTGGAAAAGTATCCACTGTTTGATGCATATGCAGATTTTTAATACAGCTTCCCCTGTGATTAATTTTCTTTAAATTTTACACTTAGGAATTTATTAGTTAGTAATAATTTGTTTTATATAGATACCTTTATATATAGTTAAATCTATTCTTCCCTCCATGCATGCAATATTTCTTGTATCCTTGGCTGCTGTACAATCCCTGAGCATCATAGAGACTCCTGTATATTTTGTTGGCAAGGTATTTTTTCTTCAAACGCTTCATCTCGTTTTTTCCAAAAGTCTCTTATGTTGTTGTGGTCAAAAACTTTATCTCAGTAATCCAAAGCACTATGCTCCAAAAGATTGGAGATTTGTAAGTTTTCTTTTGCATACCTAAGATGTTGACTTTTATGATGAGGTTGAAGAAAAGTATTGTTTTGATAACTCTCCCATGCAAAATCATTGTTGTATAAACAATGTTCTTCTAAGGACAGGGACTCCAATGTCAACTAAATGTCAGTAGGTTATTCGTGCTGATTTCTGGTTTCTGTTTTGTACCTCTGATTAGTTTTCAGGCCATTCTAGCAGAATTTTTTTCTTAGTCTTCACCACAGTCAGCAAGTAATTGAAACTTGAAGAGACATTGGTTATTTCAGCAAGTTAACCTGAAGCCATCTTCCAAATTGATCAATAAAGTCCCTACGTGACCAGGAGCGTCTAAAGTTTTGGATACAGGTGTATATAAGAAATATGGCGAAAAGGGGAGTTGGATCCTCCAGTGCAGTTTTAAGGCATAGTATGCAGTTGCTTTTGATCATCTTCATACTTACCTTAGAAATGCCATTTCTCATCCTTCTGTGTCAGATAACATTATTTGACCAGTTACTCCAGAATAAGGAAATATTGAAAATCTGAAGTACCCCGATTGGACAACAGTTGGGCTGACCTTGCTGCATTTTTATTCCGCAGAAGTCCTCTGTAATACTGCAGAATGAATAATTTGGTCACTGAAATATATGGTAGGATACCAAGTATGACTATCATATATTAAAGTTTATTTGTTTTTCCTCAAGCTGATGACATATCATTGGGGAATGGTGATGACATCCTGAAGGAATTACTTCCTAGAGATGGCAGAAGACCCAGTTCGATTGATTCTGTGGCAACGGAGCCATGGCTTAGACCTGGGACATCAGAAACACTTAAAAGACTCATGGCTGAGCAGTCAAGTCAAGCTAAACCAACTTCTGAGAAGAGCATAACATTCAATTGGCAGGGGCTGTCAACTGCCCACGGCTAAATAAATTTGTGTTAAAGCTGTTTGTGCCTTTCAAAAGTTTCACTATTGCACTTTTATATTCATAGTTGATTGTGTAAACAATGCCTACTTTGTTCAATTATTGATAATTACTGATGACCACTAAATTTGGAAATATATTATCACAGTAAATTTTCATAACAGCTTCAGAGTACAGCTAAATGTACAATTTAGCGTACATTTAATGGTACTGAGGCAAAATTTATTTTTGGATTATTCTTCTTCTCTGAAAAATTACCTCAGACTTCTGCAAGATTGAGAAATATGACCTGAATGTAATCAAATAAAATACTGTGGCTTATTGTTCTTAGACATGTAATAGACGTTTAGGGACTACCCAGGATTTAAATTCATTGCTGCTTTACTTCTAGCCCACAAATCTTATCCAATCATTTGTTCTAAAATGCTGAAGTGTTGTTTTATATGTATATATGTGTGTTCAAATGTAAATTGTGAATTCTACAAATGTATTTATGTTCATGACTTAAGATGACAAAAATTTATATTTTTATCAAGATTCTAATGAAGTATTTGTGAAATGAATAAATTGTCTTTAATAATTAAAGCTCTGGAGTTTCCTTGATGATGCTTCTTTCTCATTGCAGTAGAAATGGCATGTGCATTGAATTTCATTATGGAACTAAATTCTGACTGAACTGTATTAAGTCTAGTACAAATTCGTTGATTTGTATCCTTCCAAAGGGTTTTTCCCTTTGGAAGGGAAAAAAATACAAATGTTACTGGGTGAAGGCAAAGCTGCAGGGCTTGATCAATACAAGTTCCTTTTTGTGTAATTGCAAGGTGTTTGCAGTATGTTACACATACTATTTAATATTTAATAGTATGTGTAATATACCATTAAAATGGACTCTTTCCAAAAAGAATCAGTTTCCCAACTATAAAACCTGGAAAGCTGGATGGGTAGAAAAAGATACCTTTTGAAGAATTTTCTCATCACCTAAATATAATTTTTTCCTTGTCCTTCACCTGGATGTAGTTCTCCTTTATTGAACATTTAATTGTAACAAAACAAAACAAAACAAAAAAAAAAACTGTTGCTTTTAGGCAAATATACAGGCGAAGAGAAGCTATAATAGCAAAATACAGTAATTTGTAATGTCAGTCATTGGCAATGTCATTTGGTTACTAACCGTTTTCCCTCCAAATAGGGAGGGATTATTGAGTCTCTTATTTGGGGTTCAAAAAATACTTTATAATACTTCCGAGCTGAAGCAGCTTCTTGGATGACAAGCAAAACGTCTTAAAGAAAAATCAGAAAGTCCAGTTGCCTCTTGAAAAAGCACCTTTGGTACTTCATTGTAAATTTATCTCCTGTCCTTAACTGCCTAGAGCAAAAAGAGATGTACTACACTGGTTTTCCCAAGGGAATAGTATTTTCTCAGAGTAGGGTTACTCTTCTGCCTCATTTGAAATCCTTGATTTTTACAGCTACTCTACAGCTATAAAGTAGTAAAGATCCAGCAGTCTTGTTCTCATCACAGGCTGGGAAGCTGCTGCTTGTCTTTTCTGCTCTGAATTGATCAACTACCCGACATTTGCAGTATGTCTTGCTTTTTGTCTGGCTATTGGAAAGACTTTTGCATGGGGGCCACTTCGAGGCAGCCTTCAGTTCTGCCGTTCTGTATGTGAGACAGAATACTGTCCTAAATGTTGATTTAGCTACAGCTTTTCCAAAATAGGAAGATTTGAACTGAAAAATAGAAGGAATGATACTTGACTTAAGTTAAATTCTTTAATCACTTGCAAACATGCTGAAGGCAGTTTGCTTCATCACTGTTAACCATCATTGTTAAACTTTTAAGTTTCTTGAAACATTAAAACAAGTAGTTTTACATTGCATTGGTTTTCATTGCACCGATGAAAGAATTCAAAAACTTTATTGACTTATAACCTGATTAGAATATGCCAGATGAGAACCAATATTGTACAGAAAGTTGTACAGAATTTACATAGAAAACTTTACAGAGCTGTACCATATACATTTTTCCATCTGAAAAAATTTTCTACATCCACTGTAAGACAGAATGCTTGACAATCTTTTCTTTAACCATCAGAGCACAATTCACAGTATGAATACATTTCCAATAAATTTAAAACCGTCCCTAAACCATGCCAGATTTGTTACTTGAATATATTTAACATTACATTCTGTACACAGAGTGAAATCTACATCAAACAACCCCCCCCAAAAGGTGACATAAGATAAAACCTAGACTCATTTGCAGTGATTCAAGTTCCAGCCCAGAAGGATCGTTGCAATGGCTTATTATATTTAAAAGCCCTATCACAGGTATATTACAAACAGTTAAGCCAGTTGTGACTTTTTCAATCTTTGCCCTTCACTAAAGTTAGCAAGACTAACTTTTAGGATACAGACCAAATCAATCACAACATAAACTCAGACTAGTGCATTTGGTAAACAAATGTATGGGTTTCTATGAAATCATAAAAGAATGCAGGAAGAACTATATAGTGTTTGTAATTTTATATTACAGACCTGCACTCTTATGTTTTTTCACTGAAGAATGATTACCTATATCTCAGCTTGAGTGTGCAGATTTTTTTTCAGAATAGAAATTCCATAAAGTTGCTAGATCTCTCACCTAGTGTTTTCCTGTGCTCTCAGTACAAACCATTCTTTCAAATACAGTTCTCCTGAGTTGTACTCTATGGAAGTTCAAACTTTTTAAGTGTTAGTTCTTTGGGTACATATCTTAAGTTCACAGCCATCATAAACATACACACGCGCACACACATAATATGTATGCATGTCTGAATAAGAGGACATCACAGTCCAAGCTGACAATAAGACTGTTTAAAACTGGCTCAATGCTCAGCATAAGCCAGGAAAGGGAGGAAGAAAAATCCACTGGAGAATTAAAAGTTTTGCAAGCCTAAGTTACAGATTTACTCTATACTGTGAACTCGTAGATGCACACACTGCCATATAGAGACCCTCATTATGAACATCTAGTGCAAGTTGATTTGGTTCTTAGTTTCCTTAGTTATACTTTTACTGCTTGGCTACAACTTCCTCTTCATCTGCTGGTTGAGATATTTGGAAAACAACTCCAATTCGTAGAAAAAATCTTCTTAAAACAGCCCGGAGCTCAGGAATCAGATCAAATTGCATTATTTCACACAAAAGAGGATAGTAGAAAGATGCATGAGCTTTGAACTAAGGGAAAAAAGAATTCTATTAGACATTAAGTTCTTGAACGAGTAAATGCACTAATTCAAACATTACAATAAGAATTATCTAGGTGTCAGATCCCTTCATCCCATTTTCTGAAGAAACAAATGTGCATGGTCTTATTGGCACTGAAGTACTGACACCAGGAAAGGGAAAAAAAGGCAAATGGCAATATGACATGAATGTATTGGAATGTTTTTATTCAACAACAATGGAAGGGAATCTATCCTAAAACTGGTTTATGAGAATTATGCTCTCCTGTTTGTAAGGAAAAAATATGGGCTCAATCCCTAAATATTCTGAATGCTTACTTACCCGATCATCACTTATCTTCAGAACCTTTGTTAAGAATAAAAGTAACAGGCTAGTCCAAGCTTCCCGATGACTCTCTGAGGTCAAAGTGAGGAAGTAGCTGAGAGCTTCCCTGCAGACACTACAAGCAACATGCAACATAAAACCAAAGTTTAGTTGTTTATTTTCAAAACAGAATCCTTATCAGAAAAAGTGCATATTCAGAAAGATAATTCAATAATCCCATCCTACACCAACACATTAAAAGGGATGTCAGTAAACCCAAGCATACTTAAAAGTTAGACAAAACACTTCAGCATATTGTAAATCTGTCAAGGGGCAGCTGCGATGGAATGTTTCACTGATTACTGAATGGATGGTCTCATCTCAAAGATGCTTACAGTTGGCAGTCAATTTTTCAGGTATTGGTAAGTAGTAATAGGAGAAGGCAGGAGTGAGATTAACATAGGCCTGTTTACTGAACCACTGAACAGCAATAATAGAAAACATTCCCAATAAGCAAAAAGTTAGATCTAGAGAAATGCTGATAGACAATGACTCTTTCCTTTACTGTCTTCTCAAGACTCTTCTTTTGAAGAACTTTGCTAAATGGAATCGCCTGTGCATTGAGGTTAATTGCCGAATTCAGTTTGTCTTTAAATTTTTAACTACTATTATGAAACCAGGTAAAAGCTGTGAGAACAAGCCTTACTTTAGTAATCGTTGTTGCACTTCTTCCCAGGCATTTTTGCGACTTTCATCCATGTACATGCGGAATAGTATACGTAACCCACAGGCAAGACTGCTAGTCTCCTGTTTTAAAAGATTGGGCTTCGATTTCCCTTTGAAACCTGCCAAAACAATATCTGTTATTTAGATTTTATTGACTATCTAAAAATTAGCACTTGAATAAAAAAAATGGGCAAAAATGGCTATTGCATAGGCTATTCATAGCATCCAGATTCTCTAATCAGGATGCTCCTAAAATTCTACAAGAGTGGGAGTTGGATTTGTATTAATATCTTTTTTAAAGCAAAATATTATACTCCATATGGAGCAGCAGCTTTGCACCATACTATCATGCCAGGCCAGGGTGGTTGAGGCTTTCTGGGGCAAGGTGGCTTTACACCACATTGTAACTCAAGGGATTCTTACAGCCCCAGAACTGCAATGGACCAAGAAGCTCCTGAACCATGCTGCCATAGTGTATTCTTTCCCATTTCTATACATAAACACACCCAGGACACTCTTTCTCTGGCCTTCCAGAACACACTCAGTTCAGTTGAACAATGGTGGTTAACTGCAGCACTCCCATCCCAACTCAATGTGGCCGGTGTTAAGCCTCCCAGGGCCTCTTTCACCACCACCACCACCCGTGGTACCTCTGCTCTCTTTATCTAGGACTCCTTCTGCTTCTCAGTTAGTGAATAGGACATCTTGAATTATGATAGCAACTGGGCCTGTCAGGATTGCTGTTGCTAAGTGATGCAGCCATGTGTTGTGCTGCATAATTCAGCAGCAGAAATTCTTGCCTAATTGTAGTCATCAGCCGAGGACTACGTTTTGGTATTCATGGGATCTTCTCTCTTCATAGCATGCCTCTTAATGCCTGCAGAGTTCCTGCTCATCAAACAATACATTTTGTAAATTAAAAAGAAAAGCTATCATTCTGATAAAGCAAATCACTAACCTCGTAACAAAACCTTTAGATAAAAGAATATATCTGGGCTAAATATTACGTAGAATATTCTAAGTATTGTTAGACTACACAAAGCTGTAGCCCACTATCTTATTTGAACAAATCCATGGCTGTCCAGGGGGGAAAAAGTGAGGTGACGGTAGCAGGAAGCATTTTGAGGTTTTGCATGGATTGGAAGGAAATCCTGACATTTGTTAAACAGAAGTTTTGTGATTGGTTATATAAATGGGTGCAATTATGTTGTGAATGAACAGACTCCTCCTCCCTCATATCCATTTTGGGACTATGGAATCTCAAAATTCCATGCATGCACAAGTGATCAAAAATGCTAGTGACACAGCACAACATTCAGTATTTATATATCATTTTTGTTGTTA